GTCAGGTAAGGAACGGAGTGGTTCTGTAGACTGTTGTAACTTTCATCGGTTACCCATCTCATGTGTCGATTGAGTATCCATCGTACAAAGAATGTCCAGTCCTTAAAGTCCGTGGATGGGTTCAAGATTGGAGTTGCTGTGAAGAGAAAGTATAACTGGGGTTGCAGTCACTCCACTTTGTGGAGTATAGCACACGGCCTTTGCGCAGTAGGTGTGCTTCATCCATAACGACTCCCATCGCTGTATAGCCAGGTTCCATGACCATTTGCGGTCCGTCGCCGTGCTCATTGCCGAGTCCGAAACGCGACTTCTTGACGAGTCGACTCGGCAGTGTCTGCAGCTGACTGACCTTTCTGCAACCAAGGTCTGTGTCGGCACAAACAAGCTGTTTTGCGTTAATAAAGCAAGACCCAAGCTCCTTCGAAGTTGCGGAGCATGCACGAGCAGCGCGCTTGTAGGGATTTCAACAAGGAAGACTGCGAGGGCGGAAGAAGAAAACTCCTTTTGGAGGACGACGACATGTTGCAGATTCGACATGCATTGCTATACCAGATGTCGGATGGTAGTTTGATAGACGACCGTACTACCAACCATCGATGTTGAGCTTTCTTCCGATTCTGGTCTTCTTCGCGTCATCAGTTTTGACGCCAAGTTGAAGCGAATGCCACGGTATTTGATGTTCCTTTTAAGCCGAGTCTGCAACAACTTCTAATAGATATGTTGTTGTTTGCTTCATCGCTCAGAAGCACCGCGTGATGCGGAAGGATGTCAACAAGGACAAAGATCACAAGAGGATTGAAAGAATCATCATGGAGTGGCACAGTGCCGTTCTGTTCTGTCTTGCCTTGTTCGAACTCAGCACGATCGAAGGCCGATGGCGTGGATTCCATGGAAGACGGGAATATGAGAACCACCTTCAAATATGTCACGACCCAGACTAGGATCACTTGGCAAAGTTGCTGGCAATGGGGGCCAATGGTGCTCTGCCTGAAGAGTTGTGAGTGCAACAACACCTCCATGTAATACACGGGTTGCTGCCATGTTGTGCGGAGAGCCGATACGCGTGAACATCACAGACTGCACATTCAGCAGGTATGCAGAAGACTGGATCCTGCTGCTGTTGGAACAGCCTGAATCGAGAGGACAAAAGCATAGAAGGACGGTTCCGGTCCATCTTCCTGGGTGCTCGTGTGTCGACAGTAAATCGATTGGTCCTGCAGCGAACATGGAAGCTTGCCCGCTCGCCAATTTGAAACCGTGTGTCCGTTTGGTATGAAGTGTCGTCGATTCCACCGGATTGCGACTGGAAGGAAGCAGTATGGAAAGACATAACGAGTCCGAAAAATGTCCAGGACCATACGTTTCAATGGGCCATTGGAGAGTAGTGGTGCAAACGCCTGACCAAAACGAACTTCCTCAGTTGGCTTCATTAGAGCCACTTCGGTCACCCGTAACACCCGACAGGCGAGAAAGTGAGAAACTATACCCTTGTTTGTCCAGATTGAGGAGGTCTTGCTTCTTCTGACCAGTGCCAATGCCAGAATACGAGTACAGCTCCGTGTGGCATCCTGCGCAGCAGCTGGAGTTAGAAGCATATTGTGCTCCACATTCTGGAGTTCATGAAGAATTTCAGAAGCGACTTCATGAACAGCCGCAGGAGAAACACGTATTTCCAAATCGTCTTCAGTGAAAAAAGCGTGTATGATTGGACATCTTCCATATTATAGTGAGCCCCAGCAACCCATCGCCTGCTGGTTCGTAATCCGAAGCCTTCATCAGTCCTGGAAGATAACGCTCTTCCTTTTGTGCTTGTGGAGTATAGCCGTCAATACTCCGTACGCTTCGGACATTAGCCATGGGGATCTCGAGGATGAAGTCGAGGATGGAGAGTGCTTCCACTGTATGAATCTCTGTAGACGATCAGCATGTGTCAAAAGTGATCAAAGCATTTGCAAGGGAAGAACTTGCCTGTAGCGCACAGCAAAGAAAAGACTTGCCGCCAGGAGGAAAATGTCTTTGTTGAAGTGCTGGCGGCATGCAATGACTTGATCCCATATGAACCAGTCCAGCGTGCTCCGTCTTGGTGCCAAGGCTTGAACGTCTCGCGACCCATGATTCGAGAGTTGCGTGCGGTTGCTCAAACGGTTTAACTTCAGAGAATCCGTATTAAAAAAAGGTTTTTGTCCTCCTTGGAAAAGGGAGAGTTGCAACGCCCGCGTGAGTCTTTGATTTCCGTGTCCTCCATGCATCAGTAAGCAAAAGGGCTGCATGAGTCAGATGATTCAAGAGCTGCGTATGATTTTTCCACCAGCGTAATTCCAGAGAACTCGTATTAAAAGATGTTTTTCTCCCTTGCACATGGAGAGTTGCTGCGATGCAAGCGGCTCGTGTTGGAGAACGATGTTTTCTTTCCTGCTCTGAGAAGCTGTGCCGTAGATGCTCGTCAAAGGTCATCGAATGGTGGATAGATATAGTCATCCACATAAACCATAACATATGGTTTATATAACCGATTAACCGTTGTGTCTTCCTCTGAGGAGGACTATTCCGATGACCCATGTTCAGGCACCTGATCGTAGACCTCCCGGGGGACTTTGACAATGGCATCACTGCCATCACGGTTCTTGACCCAGTAGCCGAAATCGACATCTCGCGTCTCAGGGTTCATAGCCATGTCAAACAAGGAATCATTGAGATCTGCGACCACACTGGGGACATGCTCTGCACTGTGATGGTAAAAAATTCTTCGCCGCGATGAGTATTGACTGCTAGCTTTGGCTGTAAGACCTCTCTTTTCCGTATTTCAATTCTCGCAGCATGGCATCCAGCCCGTGATCCTGGACATCTTTATCGTCCCAGGAGTCCTGTTGAGAGGTGGAGAGATGGAGATATTGGAACAACGAACCCAGTGTCATCTTCGCCGAGCAGGTTCTTCTTCAATTCATGCTCAGTAGGCTGTCCGGAATTCCTCGGTTGCCTCATTCTTTGCCTTCTTGCAGTCCACGGGAATCAGCCCGCGAAGAAGCACCCTTTGCCTTCGTGATGACAGGGTTTGTTTAAACATTAAAGTCGTCGTCCCTTTCCTCCTCGTGGATTTCCACACGCACCTGAGGTGGTGGTGCATGTCTATCACAATCAGGGAAGCAATAGACACGGGACTCGGCCATTCGAGGACGATCATGGCGGCATCAAATTATTTTCTTCCATGGAGGCTTCTGATGTTGCCCCATGTACAGTACTCTGCTTCGTTAAAGCTGAGTACAATGGGCGTTTTCTTTTTGCAATTTCCAGCTGATCCGGACCATTGCGAAGCATGAACATGTAGTTTCGCAATCAATTGCAACATCGCATCGCAGCCGAGGAGACCGTGCTAATAATGGTCCGACGTATGTGGCTTGCCTGCTTGAAAGAACCCGGTAGTCGCTTTTGGTTCGCTCGACGTGACAATTCTCGTCCATCCTACAGCGAGGAAAATTGTGGAAACAAGTCTGCGCTGGATTTAGCTGATGTGCTCGACCGACGAGATGAACACAAAAATGATGTCTGTCTGTCCCCTATTCGTGATTGCGGTCTTCCCCGAAGAAGCTGAGGCGCAGGATGTGCAATCCATTTCCACCCATATCCCCAGACTTGGCGTATGATGTGGGAATTTCCGCACCGTTGTATTCATACATCTTCTTTCGCAGTTTTTTCCATGGATTTATCTCGGTACTGTTGTGAGTCATAGATGAGTGCTTATAACTTCCTGCCGTGCGTTCAGCGAGGGTTCCGCTGTCTCTTTCTAACATATAACCCTAAGTGTATTCAATGGCAACAGGTTGCCAAAAGTGCAAGCGACAATTGAAACATATGCCTTGAATGTACTTTCGGCTGTCGGGGTTGTCGATTTCGAGGTGTTCGCACGCTTCGGTCTCAGTTTGACGCTGATATGGCTCAATGTCGAACCATGATTCGTGTTGATTGACTGACACGGAGTGTTTCACCGATGCCAAGCAGGGCGCTAAATCGAGGGACACCGATGTCATCGACGTTTGAGTGGTGATCACTAACGAGTCGTCTTGGACTCCGGCGGAAAATGCATTTTGGTATACCAAAGGTTGATACCACAGCCAGAATCCCACGTTCTGGGAGAAAGGCATGAGAAGATCCCCGTTCACTTGAGTTCCTCTGGTATGAATCGAAGGCAGATAAAGGCATTTTAGTAAAACACTTGTTAATACCACACCCAGAACCCCAACAAGCTCCGGGAAAAAGGCATGAGGAGATTTCCCCCTTCTCCCGGTTGGCGCAGTATAACTCTGGTTGTTGTCTGTGTTGCCACATTGTAAACTCGTCGCGAGCGAGACGATCAAGCCACTCAGGAAGTCGCGGCCACAATGTGGTATGACCGACCGATAGTATGATCGTTCGTCGTCGCTTCGAGAATGAGTGCACCTGTGAACGCTTGCAGGTGATTCTGTGGATGTTCAGACTGCTTCACACTGAATGCCCTCTTGGAGTATTCGGAGTTCAGGTAACGATGCTCTCGAACCTTGGTGTTGCTGGCACAATTTGCGCAAATCCACAGTGATATGGCCATAAGGAGACCAGATAGCAATGTCGTTTTCCAGTTGCCTGATATCGAGCGCCACCGCGGAAGCTTCCGGGGAAATCTGGTGATGGTCAAACTGTTTCACCACTCATTCTGAAGTGTCTGCTTTCGGTTCCTTTCGGCTCTCGATCCAGAACAATTATTCAACTCTTGCGGCCTTGGCTTTGTTCTGTCCGGTCCGTTTCGCTTCGGTTTCTGCTTCGGTTCTTTGCCAGCACCACCACGCCGCTGCCATACTGCGGTTTGACTTCAACGTGCAATGATGCAGGTATCTGACACTCAGATACAAGTAATTTTCGGGATGATCCATTCTGAGACTGGGCACTTCGACCTGTCTGGCCCGTCAGGAAGACTCGTCGATGCCCAATTCGGTAGAATCCAGACGGATGTTTTGGTCGAGAATGCATGTTCATCCCTCGTCGACAATCGAGACATTGCTCTTGATATGCGTTCCCTTTCTAGCAACGAATTGGTCCGGAGGGTCTGTTGAGCCCTTGCGATTCAATGGGTCGAAGGTCGAATCATACACGGACTGATGAGAAGCACAGGAAGATGGTTGACCAGTGTTCGTAGCCCGAATTTGTATTATTGCGAATGTATTGCGAACAGTAGCAACGCGAATACAAAGCCATTGGCATCGATTTGCCAATCCCTCCATTCTTGTCGGAGTAGTATCTGGAGCGGTGTAATAAATTGAATTTTCAATCAACGAAGCTTAAAGAAGATAAGATCGCGTTCTTCAGACGGAGAACCATCTTATCGTCAGGTTTCCACTGTCGTACGACGCAAGTGGGTGTGAACGGCAGAGCGCGTCGTTGTAAACGTGAATGTTGGGCCAGGGCTGACTTTGTTCAGCCTGAATGGCTTTGTGGAGCGGTGGGAGCGATGGATTAGTTCAATGGCCGTGATAGCACGGAGCATTGAGTCGAACGGCCGATTGAACTTGTCAAGAAATATCAGAATATCAGATGTGTGGTCCATGTCCATGGCAAGGCCTTCGAGCGCGGGCCACGGATACAGTGGCCGATCATGGCGTTCGCAAACAACAGCCATGAAGGGATGGATGAATCGAACTCCTTTTCGATGGCGGAATGTGTGCTGTCCTGAGAATACAACTGAGGTTTGGTGGTCTCGTAATCCAATCTGATGATGTATGTAGTGTGTTTGATCGAAAGATGAGTTGACCTGCTGATACTGTCTCCTCATGATTCGGGGACAACGGCCTCAGTCTGAAGGGTCTCGATCCTTGAAGGAGCTGCTAGGGAGAATCTTCTCGAAATACCACTAACGGTAGTTGAATCAAATAAAACAAGTTAAAAAAAAAAGAAATTCCTGATCGGGAGACGACGACCGTCGACTCGTCTTGGTAGCAGCTGGAGTCTTTCTTTTCTTTCGCGATTTGTCGACGCATCTCTTCTCGCCGAGGGTGAGTCTTCTTTTTCAGAGCTCTGTTGAACACTTCCGACGTGGGTTGAGTGCCCGTCTCGAACGGTCGCGAAGACGAGGGTCGAACGAACGCTGAATTCGGCATCTTTGGGATTGTGAGACAAATCAAGCCGTTGCTGATGACACGCTTCCTCCGGGGCTATTCATCGAGAGTGAAGCCCGCTGGGAAGAACTACAGTCCGATAAATATTGCAGGCCGTGAAGTAAGTATCCGAGGCAGTCTACAAGACTTGTCAGTATGAAGAAGAATGTATGTATGTATAACTAGGAGTAATTCACCCAAGGATTGTCAAGAAGATCGCCAGGAGGGTTCCGCCCATGATTTTGGGCCTCGCTCCTGTCTTTGCACGCGTGGTAGGAGTCGGCCTTCATCCACCCGTGATTGTGCTTTCTCGCTGCTGGGCACGAGAGCGAGGGCCCACGGTGCGTGAGAGAGTGACAGAGTCGAGTGTCAAGAGTGGCCCCGGTTTTCTTAGGGAACAGCCCTGCAATTTCAAAGTCGACGCCAGGATCGACCAAGGAGGAGAAGATAAAGAACAAGCACCATTGTGCGACTGGAGGAAAGATTTTCAATGCAAGGCAGAAGACTGAGGTGTGATATGCCTCGATTTGCGTCGAGGCTTTTCCAGCTCCAGCAAAATCAGCTGGCCGAGATTCGCTGTTTGTTGTCGCTGGGAGAGAAGCCCAAGCATCGGACAGTGTGACATGGGTGGGAGCGTTGTCGTCTGGGATCCTGCAGCGCCAGATGTCGCCGGGGTAGTGATGAGCATGACTGTTGACGCTTGCATACTGCCGTGATGTTAGTAAATGAAACACGCAGTGATGTTTACGATGAGATGGGGAATACAGACAAGATGTGAATTTGCGGCAGCTGGTATGTTGCGATCAAGCAAGCACAATTCAACTAAGATTGTAGACAAGACAGTCCTGTCAGACAATTAGCACAGACATGGAAGAATAGAAAAGATGTGCAGTCAGGGCGGCGGCCATGAAGCGATGAACCAGGATATGAATAAAGAAAATGTGAAAAAAAAAACAACTGAACAACATCACAAAAATAGATGGAGCGTGCTACTTACAAGAAATTGTCTTTTTAGTATGCAGCAATTGCAGCCCTAACTTGCCATGGTGCTGTGGTCAATGTTATCCACAGGCATGAAATATGCCTGTCTCTGGAAGCCCAGCGCTTTAACTGTACAGAATTGTGAAACTCTGTACACACTTGTTGCCGCAATTAATAGAAAAGGCATGTCACTGATGACACAAGGGTGTCTGTGGATGTTCACATGCAGCTCACAATGTTGTCTGGGCAGCAGGATTCGGGAAAGGCCAGCCAGCATCAGCTTCTTTCTCTCTGACGAGAAGCTGGCTCATCAGCCACAGCGAGTATCAGTCCCCACCATTGCCAGATATAAGAGTTGATATTAGCGTTAAACAGCCGACATCAGGTCGGCAGTCATGGTGCAGTCATGGTGGACACATCAGAAGTATCTCATGTACAGATACCAAGGTGCTCTGCTCAAGGGTATGGAGCAATATAAATAATAAATATAGAAGAGGTCATTGAAGAAGAAGACATGAAAGAGAAAAGAGAGTATATAAGTGTACTTTTGTACTTTTGTACTTTTTTTTTGTACATGTGTGGAGAGAGGGGGGGGAAGAAAGAAAGAAGCAAGACTGAGAGCGACCCTTGGGGGGTTTTATAACCAGTGAGGCAAGAGTGATCTGCCTCAGATCACGCACTCACTGTCACTGCATCACTATCGCCTTAAGCGAGCAATAAGCGAGATTAAGCGAGCAAAAGATTCATGGGATCGATCTGAAGCGATTCATGATGATGATCCTGATCTTGGACGCTGATTGGCGCAGAGAGTATACAATTCACGGATTACAGCGCTAACAGGGCGATGAACAGTGACGGTGACCCTGATCTGTTGCCGCGGCGGCACAGAGAGAGAGAATTCACGGAATCATCCGGTAGGCAGTCTTCTACAGTGAATACACACGGGAAAGCAGGCGGCTGGCGGAGGGTTCCCCCATCGCATGGCGGCAATTTGCGGCGAGGACGTACAGAGTAGGGGAGTGCAGGCTGGTAGAATTCTATGAGTAGTTTCTACGCTGTAGATACAGTAAATCCAGTCAATATATGATGTGCTTTCCATACGCTGGACTTCCAAAGGAGACAGAAAAAGCCCTATCTTCTTTTCGAGAATCAAAATTCCTAAATAGGTAGTATCCTGAACGAGTAGCTATTTCACACCTCGGAAGAATCAGAGCGCAGAAAGCAGAAAGTGGTATGCCTGTATACGAACCCTAGTTACTCCCGGGAGGATTTCTATGGTCGTCATTACGCTTTGGAAGAAGTTGAGTATTTCGTCAAGGATCAGAGGCTTCTTCCACGTACAAAAGGTATATAGCATCAAACCCTATATTATTCCTATCTAGTCGCCAGCCCTACCATCCTACCAGCACCTAGGGCTTTTATTCGAGAATATGTGGTCAGCAACTTCTTAGGGATAATACGGGAACTCTACATACGCATCGAAGCAAGACAAGAAAATAGAAGCCAATTTCAAGGCTATCTGCCGCATATCCTGGCTCGAAATATAGCCCTTCGCATCTGAACAGACAAGAAGCGTTTGCTCTTCAAGAACGGGATATCTCGTAGTTGACTTGCTCTTCATCCTGCATCCTCATATCCTTATCGGAACGCTCTTATCGTATTCATCAGCATACTTTGCGCAGAGGATAAACACATTCTTGAGCGGCCCCAGACTGAATAACTGACTGACTGATACTACCAACATCTAGGTTAGGACATCCGATGGATAACGGACGAGTCGAGCGTTTCTCCAGTGCACGGGCTCTCCTCCAACAAAGAAAAAAACCCGATATATGGATCATGAATAGGGGGGTTCAATGAAATACTACACCCGCAGAACTGCTGTCATGTTATACCAATGATTTTGGTTTGGGCTTTTTCTCTTGCCAAGTATGTAGGTAGGTATGTTATGTAACAAACCAAGGTACCAACAAACTATATATCCACGGATATCACATGTATTAGGTAGGCATCCTTCTTGCTGCTCATTTAATGAAGTTGTACCATGCATAACACGCATGCATACAGCCAATAATCAACAAGCGTTGAGCAACATGAGCAACCAACAGGTTTAAAAAAAGATGGGGGAGATTTATCCTCGCTTGCACAAGAAACAAAACACATTTCTTGGGGAAGAATCCAGCCCTGCCTCGCAGGCTCTGCCTCTGCCAAGGCTCGCTGGCTGGTGGACAGGACAGGGTTGCTGATCCTGCGTTGTCTACGAGGTAACTCTCTCTGGTTTGTCTTTTTTTTTTTCGTTGGCACTTCCGCTTTAATTAATTGTTGCTGATTGCTGCTGCTGCTGCGGTATAATATAAGGGATCCTTGGATCTGCTAATTAATTAATAATGATTCTTTCCGAGTATTCTTTAACTCTTCGATTAATCTAATAAACCAAATCGATTTAATATGCTTCAGGTCTCTGAACACTGCTCCTGGATCTTGTCCATGGTCTGGAGGGTGTAAAGATAGCGCTATATCAGGTAATACCATGTTAGATTTTAAATGGGATAGGAGTGGTGGTAAAGGCTGCTCAAGCAAGCAGAAGGCGAGAGATGGAACTGTAACTGAATTCATCTGATGGATAAGATTCGATGCAGAGAATTATTCTGACCCAGCACGAACATAATCAATCCCCTTTGAGGAAATTCAGGTAGGTAATGTACCTATCTATGTTGGTTGTTGCTGTTGGTAAGATAACTTTTATTTTTTTCTCTTCGATCTCAGATAAGACACCATCTGAAGAATCTGTTCTGTGTGTGTACTGTCCACAAGGCCCTCTATATGTAATTCCGTAACAACTCACGCAAGGGGGCGGAAAAGCATCCAAGTAAAAATTAATTCGATCTGATTCGGGAGATAACAACCAACAAACCAACCAACCTAATTGTTAGTCGCGTACTCCGTACAGTGTGCATGTACTTAAACGAAAGGAATTAAGGTAGTATCCGAAGAATGGGGGCGATCCCAACTTCATAAAAGAAGCTTATAACATACTGTACTACTACTTTCGCAGTCTAGTACAGTAGTACTAAAGCCAAGGGGCTAGTATACTGTAGGTTAGGTAGGTAGGTTAGGTAGGACCGTAGGATCGATCGACGATCACAAACCCCATTCATTAAATTAACTACAGTAGGTACTATACTCCGTCCGGCGTATGGCGTATAGATAGGGCTTAATTAATTTAATTAAGCCTTATCGTATCGTCACAAATCTGTATACTACTGTAATGCTTCTGACAGGGTACTAATTCCTTCTCCCATCCCTTTTTTATTGTGGACATTCTCTTCATTTTTTTTATTCGTTCTCATTGGATATTCCCCTCTGAATCTTTCCTTAATCGTTAATTGGGTATGATTAATACCTACCAGCCTGACCATGTATCCGTGATTTTTTAGGTTGTATTGTATCCGTGGAACGAGACGAGATTTCGCGTGGTTTGGTTGCGTTGGTTTGGTGGGTCCGTTCAGCCCTGCAAGTTACCAGCCCACACACAAGCTGAGAGGATGACAGGAATGAATGATCCAAGGTTCCTCTATCCCCAGACCAGGGTTTGTGTCTGGTGTACTCCACGGTTTGTTTGATGAGTTGAATTTGAACTTGCTGCTCACCGATAATCTTTATTTCAGAGTACCGAGAGAAGAAAAAAAATACTAGCACAGTTGATAGACAGAACGCATCGTGGGTATCTAATTGTCGGTATATGATCTACTCCTCTGTTAGGTAGATATAGTACGTGTAAACGTAGTAGACTATGACAGAGAAAAAGAATTCAACTCGCTTGTTGCATGCTCTATGTATGTAGTGTGTAGTGCCCTCTCGATATATGTACAGTAAAACTTGTCGAAGTTTCAGAATGAAAGAAATTGATCTGCGAATCCCTCAATGGGCGCTTGATGACGACTAGGATCGGACGTGATTTTAATCAATCGGTCACCAAGAATCAAAGTAAAGTGAAGCGAATCGAAGTGAATGAAGTGAACGACGAGGGCAAGCGAATGTGGTATCTCAATTCAAAGAAACGTTTGCGTTTGCTGAAGTTGTGGCCTCGACGTACGCCTCGCCAATCTGGCTGAGCGCGTCACCGCTCAGCAGCGTGCCCTGAGCGACCATAAAGTAGGCGTAGCGCTCGACGGCCTCCTGCGAGTCGAGCCACGGCAGGACCTGCTCGAGGAAAGACACCTGCGAGGCCGCGTCGCCCGTCGCGCCGAACTCGGTGATCCAGACCTTGTTGATGCCGTGCTGGGCCGCCAGCGAGATGGCCGAGTTGACGTGGTTCTTGAAGTCCTCGACCTGGCTGGCGTCGTTGTACCAGTGGATGGCGATGAAGCTCTGTCCGCACGAGCCGCCGCAGCCGTCGAGGAACTCGGACAGCCAGCTCAGGCCCTGGCCGCTGCTGCCGCTGTTGGTCACGGCCGGCGAGCCCAGTTCGGCCTTGTCCGCGTACGGCGTGATGTACTGCTTGTAGTACTGCACCGCCTCGCTGGGCGACATGTTGGCCTGGCTCGACATGTCGGGCTCGTTGAAGCCCAGGATGTGCTTGCTGCCCGACGACAGGGCCTGCTGCACCGCGTTATCCCAGCCGTCGAACATCTTGGTGCCCCAGAGCATGGGCACGTACTCGACGCCGGACGGCATGGAGCCACCGGCGGCGAAATTCCAGTTGTACGCCCACGAGGAGCCCGTGATCAGCTTGACCAGAGACACGTCGTTGTAGGCGGCGCCGCGCTTGCTGGAGGAGCGCTTGTCGTGCAAGTGCGAGTGGGCGTGGTGAGGAGCCGCCAGGGCCGAGGCGGCCATCAGACCGGAGACAACCAGGTTGGTGAAGGAAACCATTTTGATGGTGGATATGAGCGTTGGATCGAGTGTAGATATCGAGCGCGTGGCTGAATGAGACAAGGAATGGACGAATCTCAACCAGGCTCAGCTGGGAGGTCTCTAACAAAAGGAACGAAATGAGTAGGTTGGAAGAAAGGAACGACACCGTGCACGGCACAGGTAGGTCGCAGATCGAAGAGAAAGATATATATACGAGGCCACTGTGGAGGGGAAGAGGAGAAGGGAACAGTATCCGGGGAGGACGGGGCGTTTATAGATCGAGAGATCCAGGCCTGGACCGGACAATCCCCACTGGGCGGGTGCCAGCCATTCTGTGCTCACAGACTCGGTCTGGATGATATCCAACGCAGCGCCTTTGATACCTTACGTATGCGTGGCGCTGCGCGCTGAGTGGTTTGTGCCTGGATCGCGGCCCATGGAAGCCAGCGCCACGGCCCCCGGAACCAGCAGCAGCAGCGCTGTTGCATTCGGCATCCCTTTTTCATTGGATCGTGGGGAAGGATATCGTGGCCGTGGATGAAACAGGCCGTAAAACTGGCGTAAAACTGGCGGCTGCGCGGCATTGGCCGGCCCAGCTGGCGGTGATGATGCGGTGGAGAAGGGAAGCGCAGGAGACAGAGCATTCTGGCCATTCTGGACTGGCAGGCTGGATCCCATTCGCTGCTGAGGGCGTTCCTGGAAGAAAAGCGTCTGATGAATCAATCGTCTGCCCAGATCTAGCGCTGGCTTAGTGGTCAAGCCTGTTCTTCCTGCAGGAAGAATAGCGTGGCCAGCACCACCAGCTCAAATCATCCTGATCGCCGTCATATAACCGGATATTCCGAGCATCGATCACTTGCAGAATATAGGTATTAATATCATATTAATATTAATGGAATAATGGGACGTGTTTGGATGTCTCCAGCAGATCTGCAAAATCCGTGCTTCAAGACTGCTGATCACGATCGCGATCCAAGGGCACTGCACCAGCCACCGGCAGCACACCCGAAAAATACAATCACTCTGGGCTCATTTCTGTCCCGAGTAGGGATTGTCGGTGGATATCATGCGAGGAGATGCGCGGGTTCCTGCTGGGTGGCGCCGGGCGAGCCTGTTGACAGCCGGCAGCGACACGTCAGAGAGTGAACCGGACACTACAAGTAATAATAATAATATTCTGTCTTTTTTGCCCTGATTACGGAGAACTAGAATAATTTTTTTTTATTACGCGGTGAAACAAAGCCCGTTCCGGCCAATCACCACGAGTCCAGCGGTATTGGGACTCCATAAATTCACGCCTACCGCAGCCTCGTGGCTGTCGGGATGTTTCAGCATCATCTAGGCGAATTTTTACCCAGTGAGACAGCTCATAATCGGAAAAATACTGCCCGTGATTATTCTGTCTTCAGCATGATGACGACGGCGCCTACGTGGATCGCTGCGAATAGTTCGATCCCGATTCGCCGGGTCGGATTAGCCGCTCCGAGACTGGCTAGTCAAGAATTATCCTGAGGAAAAAATAAGACAGCCCTGAATAGGATTGATGCCTCAGGCATTTAATCTGGTAGATGTTTCACCTGAAAAATAAGAATAGTACTCCGTACTACTGGGATATAGTCAGGAGAGCTTGTTTATTAGCACAGGTCTCGACCTTGTCTATTTCTCCACTGGAGAACTCTTTCTAGAATGACCTGAATATAGCTACATCAAACTGTCAGCCACCTTCTCCCTTTTCAACAGGACTATGGAATGTGTACGGAGTAGGGACAATCCAAAAATTATCATCACATCTCATCTCCTGACCCACTAATTATTCGATAGTAGGTAGGTACTATCCACGTACTATATATAACCATCTATTTTTCCGTTCGTTCAGGAGAGGAGTGAATATCTGCCTTCTCGACGATGTAAAATAGATATAGATATATTGAAACTTGTCGCAGGGATGACAGCTGCATAGATGGAAACCACCTGTATATATACCGCGAAATTCCTCATCACCATCTGTCAAGAAATTATCGAAAAGAGATTCTGCTCTAGACAAGGAAAACACACCAAGCACATCCTAGACTGTGACTTTCGTGGAGTTATTGCAACAAAGTCCCTTCGAGCATCCCCGCGCATCGATGACGCGTTGACAGCGGTCATGTTGGTGCCTACGGCCGGTGGCAAAATCACGAGCTATCAATCCCACGAGATGAGAGGAGGAGATGAGTAAAATTCGACCGATTGTAAAGAGTGTAGACGCTGACTAGGTAGATAACAGTCAGTCTGGAGGTAAAATAAATGAATAAATAAATGACAGGAGCCCAGAAATCGTATGTACCAGCGATGAGTGTACTCGAGAAGCCTCGTCTTGTCTTGGATATAAATAAAATCGCGTATGACACGACATGACTTACCCGTCGAGCATGAAGGACGAGTCGTGAAAACTGCAGAGATGCGGAAGACACCTGGGGCTATACTAGAGGGGATGCACTTAGATGACACAAAACAAGGAGGGAAAAAAAAGACGACAGATAGACGTTCTCGTTCTCGTTCTCAAACCTGGACAAGCTCCTTATTATCAGCAAGCATTCAGCAAGACTCACTTTGTTATACTGCTGCTGACTATGCATTATATTATATTAGAACTTTCGGGGAACAGCTGCTAGAGCGGATGACTAGCAAAACGAGATTTACCCATCGATGCAGACCACAAATGACTACTGAATTTTGACTAAAAAGACTAGAACTTCTAGCATGACACGAAGAGATAACGATAAAATTGGGAAAAAAAAATATGATAAAATCAGCTAGCTGGTTTTGAACCAAAAATTAGGTAGAATCTCCTTCTTTTGTCGCGGTTATTTATTTACTTGGTTTCATCGTTCATGGGAGATATCCATTTAACTACCGCCTGAGACTAACTCCTTCCTCTAGACAGTGTTCATCAGTGTTCGTCGAAGCAAGCCAGTAAAAAAAGCAGCAACTAGGAAACGCATCAAGGAAGCCTACGGAGTAAATAAAGCTATGGAAGGGAAGACCACTATACTATTAATTAGTGGCCCTACCAAGCGACTTACAGCGTTGCTCCAAGCGTATAAATAAAAGATATGACCAAGGCGTACAGCTCTCCTTAGACAGCTTTGGACTGGCAGGATCTCCCTCAACTAGAGTACTTCCTATTCAAAATCAGGGTAAAACAGATAGCGATTACAGCAATTACTACAGAGTACTGCGGGTGTGTTTAGGGTCTCCCTCAGACCCCAAAAATATGTGCTCCTGGGTGGAACGTATTAGCAGATCTCTACTAGCATTAAAAACAAGAACTGGATGGGATAGACTATGATACGATACTCTGGTATCAGTCCCAAGGTGATATTGTACGTTGCAGACTTTATGCTATAGACTACTCTCCTAGGCTAGTGTAGAGGTGGAACTAGAGTAGAGAGAGCAACAGGGAAGCCCTATAGCAAGGATGGCAATAAGTTAAGATACTGACTATAAAAATAGAGTAAGATATCGGTCACGAAGGGTTCTCTAGCAGAGAACACATAGATTGCATGGCGTGGCTCCTACTACTAGGGGAGGTATAGGATATGCAGATAAGGGATTCGAATCTAGGGGATATACTAATGGGGAGACTGGTGATAGTACATGAGAAAGAAAGTGGTGATGATTATTATGCACTCAACACCATAATCCTCTGTAATTACTATTTTCTGCATTCTATAGACTTTCTATAGAATATTGGGGGAGTTTGGACGCGAACATCCTGAATACCGACTCAGCTATAACGGGTATGAATTCATCATCATCATCATCATGGTCATCATCTTCATGCCGAGGCAAACTACACGTAATGACTGTCTAGATACTACGATTCCTATCTTACACGAACGAAAAGAAAAAAAAAGATGGCTAGAAAAGATCAAGAAGAGAAGATGGAAACGTCCAAACGTTATGAGATCGCTCTGCGTTCTCTCTCTTCGATAGTATCCTATACAGACACCTAGGCACCGAAAAGTTTTTCCCGGGAATAGAGTCAAATAATCAGGTACAAGTCAGGTACATACATGTTCCTACCTACCAGTCTTGTCTACCGCGGTTTGGTCTGATTGTGATGACTATAGTGATGTAATGACTCGACGGGACGGGATGGCTTCAAGGTTACTGGAAGGAGTATCTGGCCGCAGGCCGGCAAGGCTACACATAACTACACAACAGTACCTCTTGCATTATAGTACTACTGGTCATGCTACAGGTCTTTACTTACTTACGCTAGGATATGTAAAGCACTGCGAAGAGACATTAAAGAATAATAGATGGTATGATATATGTATATTGATTGTTGATTGACCCAAGTATATGACATATCACCCATTATGTCCTGTACCACTCGACTATGACCTGTGTGTCAACAACCAACGAGTATCAAGAAAGACATCACGGTATTGATCGACGGACGACGTGGACGACGGTGGAACGGCGAGGAGGAAGGGAAGTGGACGACGACGGCGACAATGACAACAACGAAGGTGACGACTGTGACGAGACGACGGTGATGGCGATACTCGACTCGAGTCGATCGTTCGTTTGTTTGTTCACTCGTTCGACCTAACCGACAGACGACCCCCCAGCGTCTGCTCTCAGCACTCACGTACTGGCAAGCTCTTCCACCCAGCTGTGCAAGCTCAAAGGCGATCCTGAGACAGGAAATCTAGCAACTCCATGACATGGCCAGTACCGTGAGTGTCTTGCGTGCACAAAAAAAAAGAGTGTTCAAGTTGGGGGAGCCCCGCAAGACGTTGGTTGGTTGGGCATGTCACTTCATCGTTGCAAACCTGAGAGGGGTGCTCCGGGTTCTTACCTGAATTCAGTTATGACAGCAAACTGTCTAGTCAGCATCGAAGCCTGACTGACTGAGTCGTGGATGTGTGGGTGGATGGTGATGTCATGAAAGAAGACTTGTTGAGGTGAAAGGTGGGTGGTATGGGGACTTGAACGTTGAAGAAAGGGTGAGTTGGTAAAGACAGGAGAAAGATGAGTTGGTTTGGTTTGGTCTGGTCTGGTCTTGAGAGAAATATTTTAAAAGAAAGAAAAATTCAGCAGAGCAACGGGGGTCAGGGGGGTATTTATACCTTTGGAAGGCAGACTAAACCTAAGCGAGGTGATCTCGAGGAGGGTTGATCCTCAGCGACAGCAGTGAATATCAACCCTGATCCTGGAGGATGATTGGACGACAGGCGCGTGATCCTGCGCAGTGAATCCAGGCAGTACTGCAGTATTGCGAAGTGATTCATTGGTCCTCCAGGGCTCAGTGAATGGTCGAGGAGGGAAGTCATGTCTGCCTACGCGACATCTCTCGCACAGCGTCTAGCAGAGTAAACTTGGACTCTTTCTTGTATGTCTTCGCTCTACTGTACAAGAGATTTTGCGCCTTCTTCTAAGAGTTTGAGCAATCGTAAACACGATGCGTTTGGTATGTGCTTATTTGATGCCAAGCAATTGTATGTATTTACTCCTTTTATCGATAACGCTCCGTTCCGCTCCGCTCCACTGCCATGCCCGCGGGGCGGGGATGCGGGGATCTCTTATCGTCGAGTTACGGAGTTAAACACGGCCACGGAAGGAAAGGCACGGAATAGAACTATTTTATCCGTTAAGAAAAAGTGCCATCGTGAGGACCACTTAGTATAGAAAGTCTAAAGAATAAGAAAGTCTTCGTGTTGTCCTGTCTACTCCGGACTGGTCATTACGTCATTAGGTAGATATCGTACAATGTGCTGTATGCAAATGCCTGATCATAAAGTATCCGGGAGGTCAAAGATTGTCGATAATGGTACAGAATTATGATAGCAGCAAATCAAAAAAGGAAAAACACACAGAACTCCCATATCGCCAGCCAAATAGATCAAGACTTAAGCCGAGAGAGTCCGCCGGAGGTTTGCACTCACTCCTCCTCTCCTACCGCCTGATCATCTTCCGTCTTTTTGTCAAGCACATGAGAACCACTTTTCGAGGCGAGACATAGACGCGAAGGAGGTATGAATCCAATCGCGTTCCTATCGAGTCAGATTTAGCGATTTGTCCACCACTGAAAAGAACCGTCTTCGTCTGTCCAGTCACACTCTATGATGCCATCATCATCGAATTCGTCGTCGTAGACATCCCCGCTCAGAGCTGCAGTACGGTGCAAAACCCATTGCATCTCCAGTAACGCAAAACTCGGGAGTGGATGACTATCAGGATCTTCGGTATGGAGTGTAATAACGTCTCCAGAACGTATTGGTGTCATGCTTTCGCAATTCCATAACCTAATGTCCTCTGGCAATCCATCGAGGCCGCCCGGGAAAGAAGGTTTCACCGATGGAAAAACTCCCCATTTAACCCTCTTATATCGACGCAGCCAGAAGAATTGCACATTCAGGGACTTTCTATCACAAGACAGTTCCAAGGGTTTCAACGCAAAAAAAAGCGGATCTCCAGAGGTCATGGACAGTCGAGGTCAATGGAATCAAGTTCTGGCAAACTTCTGTTCTCTGTTCAGTAAAAATGGCTGTCTTCCATTCATCGATACGACTTTTGGACCAGAATTGGTCCAGCATCACCCAGAAGACGCCCTTTGGAGTAATGTCTCTCATTGAAGATGGATAAATGTGTGCGACGCTCATGGGCCTCCCATTCTCGTTACGACGCACTTTGCTTCGTCTCGCTGAATGCACTAGAATTCATAAGCAACGTTTGTCGTAAGTCTGGGATGGACCTACAAGATCTCTTACAGTTATTACTTCAACTCGATAAATAATGGGGAGCAAGAAAACATACACAATTCAACAGGTCGTCCAACGCTATCGACAGCATGAAGGGGCGAGTAAAAGTAAAACACGTCAGGTCCCTGTAGATGCTCTTCAAGCTTGTCCACGTCGCACAACCAAAGAAATGCCCAAGCGGTGCATGGGATCCTTGTATCGTCTAAGCATTCCTTCAGAGAATTCTCAAACTCTTCGATCAATCTGATGCGCTTCGGGTCTCGAAACTCTGCTCCTGGATCTTGTTCATGGACTGGAGGGTGCAAAGGTAGCCTTATATCAGATGATGCCATATCAGAGGCTGAAGATTTTCAAATGAGATAGGAGTAGTAAAGACTTTCTTAGGTAGAAGCGAGTGATTGAACTGGTGGATAAAATTCGATTCAGAGTTTTATTCTGGATCCGACAACCTGTTCACGCCAGCTGGACGGTGAATGTCGAAAGGAAAGTACGGAGAGACTCTCTCAGCAGTTCCTTCCAAGAAAGGAAGTGACGATCGGGGAGATCAACCTAGCTTCTTTTGGACTAGCGCCAGCTGCAGGAACACTATCCCTTTTGGGGAAATTCAGTGGCACCCCCGGCAATCAAGGCTAGTCCCTCAAGTACTCTGTATACATGTTGAAATATAGATCGCTGAATATGGATCGTTACAATATTAATCGAAAGGTAGAATAAATCCTACCAAGACCGGTCTCAAACAACTCAGTAGTATTCCTGATTATGTAAAGTACAGCAGCGATATCAACTAGAACCCTGCTGCCGTCTCGCCTCAAGAACCCGCAGGACATCTGCCGCGCTGTCCTTGTCGCCCTTTCTCTTCTTCCCACGTTTCCTCTTACCGCCACGTCCACCATAGACTTCTTCATCTTCGTCATCCTCGATACGGCTGCTGCCGAATCCATAATCGATGTCGTACGAGTCCAGCTCTTCCCGCCGGCGAGCCTCTTCGAGGAACTTCTTCCGTCGAGCAAGGATCTCCGGATCGACGTCTTCCTCGCCTTCTTTGGCTTCAGCAGAAGGCGATGCTTGGCGCAGCGCAGCTGCGCGTTTCAATGCTGCCAGGACGGTAGGATCGTTGGTTAGTGGGTTGGCACGATCGATAGGTTCCACCTCTTCTGTAGCAGCGCTGGTGGATGTAGAGAAGTAATTGCGAGGTTTGGACGGCTGTGGAGCAGCCTTTTCTTTGTCGATATCGACATCTGATTTGCGTTCAGGCGCTGCTGTTGCTGCTGCACGCTCACCCTCCTCCTTCTCGGACTCGGAAGAAGAGTCATCCCCACCAAGATCGGCGAGCGGGTTGTAGTCAGTCCCAACTCCTTCGAATATGTCCTCGTCCTCAGGCTCTGGTGCATCAGTGCCAGCTTTCGCCGCGACACGCGCCGGGACCTCCATCCCCAAGGGCTTCGCGTTCTTGTCGGGTACCAAGAGGCCGTTGCTATCAGTCTCCTTGCTATCAGTCTCCGGCCCCGGTTTGTCCAGCCACCTGACTTTTCTCTTCGTCTTCCCATCTGGACCTGTCGTAATCAATACTTCTTTCCGCCGGCCGCTCGCATCTTGCTCGATCCAGCGCTTCTTCTCGCCCTTGTTATCGCCAATCTTCTTGAACTTTGACCCTAGGCTGGATTCAGACGGTTGTGCAGGAGCCTGTGCAGTCGCTTCTGCTGCTGCGGCAGCTCTACTCGCTTTCAACTGGCGCAATATCTCGTCTCTCGACATTTTCTTCCCTGGTTCAGACGCAGACGGCTGAGGTGGAGGTGCCATGTTACCCTTCTTGACCTTCTCCTTTGGTGCCGCAGGTTGAATATCTTTCGCTTTCTCTTCCAGGATACGATCCAGCTCCTCGTCCACATCGTCAACCGTCGCAGGAGCCACCTCGCTTTCAGCCGGCGGTTTCTCAGCCGGTTTCGTAACATCTTCACCAGCCTTCACCCGCCTGAGAAGGTCCCAATCCAGCCCCTTGACCAGATGCGTGCTGTTGATATCGCCCCCAACGCCAATTTCTCTCCGTAGCTTCTCAAAGGTCGCCTGGTCGATCTGGCCCAGTTTCACCATTTCCTCCAGCGCCCTCACCCGCTTTTCTTTATCGTCTATCCCGTCGCCATCCGCGCCCTCGTGCTGTTCCAGCTGTCTCCTCAGTTCCGTTCGATCCTGATATCCGCTCGCCAGCTGTGTCCCTTTCGGCGCAGCCGATGACTTGAATTTCTTCGTCGGCGGTTGCTGCGATTCGCGACGGTGCTCCGCGAGTTGACGCGCGAAATCGACACCCTTGACGGAGCGACTGTTACAGTCACAGTTAGCAATCCATGTCTCCACAATAACGATAGGAAATAGCAAAATAGCAAAACGTACGGTGTCATAGGTATACTAGGCCGCATGCGCGATCCCAAAGCCGCAGCCAGAGGAGGAGGGCGACTGGCGCCGCCAGTGCCGGTGCCACCACTCGAGTCCGAGTCATTCTGTCGTCGCTGCAAAGAAGAGCCATCCGTACCGCTGCTGCTCGCTGTCTTCGATAACGACGACGGGTTATCGAGCACCAGCCGCCGGAACTGTTCGTTGTTCATGATGTAGACGTCAGAAGAAAAGAAGAGGTGCACTTTGCGTGCACACGCGGGACGGACGGACGGACTCGGCAGCCAGCAGACGAAGAGTTAATTAATCAACAAGGTGGAATGAACAGAATGACTGTCTGTAATAGTCAGTCAGTCAGTCAGTCAGTCATCAATAAATAAGAACTGGAACTGGTCATGTCGCAGAAATGATAGTCAATAATCAATTAATTCAGTAGACTGACTGACTGCCCTGCTGCGATGGCAAAATGTCCTGCCTGTTATTCCCGAAAGGGAAAGCGGTGGCGGGGATGCTCATCCCCACGGACTCTGTACCTGGCGATACTATCAAGATTCATTCAGAATACCAGACAAGAAACTGTGACAAATTTCTTTAAATAAAGCGCCTCGATGTAATCTTTAACTAAGAACATTTATATGAAAATTATTTTTCAAAAAAAAAGATACTTGAATACATACGTGAATTGCTGCAATAAGCAGTGTATGCATACACAGCACACACCTACTATCTACCTATTTTATATATCTCTCCCAACATCCCTAGCTAAGAGGGCAACTAACCCAGCACTGTAGTTATTAGTCACAAGCCATGAATTATCAATCTATCGAAGGATACTACGACTAGCAAAGCTGTCAGAATACCTCTTGGGCCAAAAAATATCATTAACCTTAAGGTTAGAGATCTAATCTGTCCACCCAGATGATGAGATAGATAGATGACTGAATAGACCGCTTTCTGGAACTCCTTGTTATGACATGACTGAACAGTGAGTGATGATTAGAGATATAAAAAAAAGGAACTGTGTGTGGGGAAGATGAGAAGGGCTCCTCCTGGGAATGGGCATCTTCCATATTGCATCTCTCTTTCGTTGTCTCGGTAGATATACTACTATACGAGTTCTTAGATCACTACTACCGCTACTGCTGCCTAGGACAATTAATATGGAACCTTGGATCAATTTCCACTATATACAAGAACACAACACACACACACACAAACACACGTATATATATTCATACATTCGTACTAAACAAATATTCCACAAAGAAAATCAACTCGAATCAAACACAAACAAAACTCACTCTGCGTGGCTAATCCGACAGTCTGACTGACTGAATGTCATCTTATCATTTCCTAGTTAACATAAATTGAATGCAAGAGGAGGAGGACGGTCAATTTTCCAAAAAAGAACTCAAAAAAGGAAGAAAAAAAATTTCGATGCAAGAGATGAGGGCATGCTAGGATATAATTAATGACATGAAAACCGACCGCACACTTCGTGATGAACATCAACATCAATCAAACATCATGAGAGAATCGATCGAGACCGTACGATCCACCTGTCTTAAGTTTTTTCTTTTTAAATAGTTTCCCACCCCCCATTGTTTATATCAGCTTCTAGCTTCCTGCTGATCGTCGCAGGGATGCTGTGTGACAGCCAGACGTCACGGAGCAGCTTGTCATACCGCTTCTGGTTGAGAATGAGCTGACGGTTCCGGCGAAGGCCAGGGTCAACTTCTCCGTGACGGTCGAGATACGGCGCAAAATGCCAGGAACCGTTGTGGTTGTGAAGATAAAGGACGGCGCATTTCCGGATGTTGATAAACAACCCGACATTCTTACCACACCTGATTTTCATCAGAATTAGTAATCGGACCCAGAGAACAGAGAACGAAACAACGATTAGACACTTACTTCTTGAGATGCTGGTTGCATCCACCCAGCTTCTTGTCCATGCAGCATACCGCTTGCGAGCAGAAAATATCCCCACAGAACAAACAGATGCTGGGGTCACTCAATTCCTTCTTCGAGTTCGGGCACCGTCTCCGGTTGGCTTCCTCGATCAGCTGATCGTAGTACTTGGGCAGACCGATCAGCTCGAAGATGGCCGGATGAGACAGGCTGGGCCAGAGCCGGTGGTCGTCTAAGCGGATTCCTGAGCGCGACGCGTTCCAGTGGAAAATCCATCCAGAAACGACATAGTCCCACGGGTTGGAGCTGCTTCGGGCAGGCGAGAAGGAAGCAAAGATCTCGTCAAGAGTCGGCAGCTGAAGGACCTTGGTGAGGCGATCCAACTCCGACATGTTCTCGTCCCCGAGACCGGAGGTCGGGAAGTCAACGCCATGCTGCACATGCAGGAGAATCACCGTCTTGCGGAGGAATGTCAATGCATATCTGGAGATGAGCCGTCGCAAAGCCATCACAACGCTCGGAGTGGCCGAGTCTTCGCCGTCCTTTACGTACCCACTCTCTGCAGGATACGAAGACCCCAGGGCCCGTCCGACGGAGTTGGATTTCAGTTCCGCCACAACAGTGTCGAAAAAGTGCCTAGTGACCGTGTATTTTTCCTCTGCCGACTCTGCTCGTAGATACTCCTCATCGTCATGCTCGGCCAGTTCCTCCTTCAACGCGAGAGGCCACAGAATAAACGTCACAGCAACCTTGAGAATCTCCGCGACATAGCACATTTGGATCAAGTGCCGGATTTCGATGTTGAGAACAGGTAACAGCGAGAGGGAGCATTCGGCGAGGAACACAAATATGTCCATCCCGAGCAAGGGCTCGATATTGCGGACATCATCCAGCAGCGCCGTCCCCTTCATACAAGGGTGACCAACGAATAACTGACACAGCTTCTGGCGATGCATCTCTTGAAACTCCTGAAGCGCACGGTTCTTGCCGTTACCATTAGATATGCCAGCGACTGCGGCATAAGAGTACGCAGTCTCCGCGAGGACACGAAGATGTGTCAGTGTCAGCTGCGGGATCTTGTCTAGGAGGGTGGCACCAGGATCGGATTCAACGCCCCGCTGAGCGATCTCGACGGCGGAAATGCTGTACCCGAAGCTCCGTATCAGGGCGTCAGTGAAGATCAGTTCGTCGCCATTGTTAGCCTCAGGCGTATGAGGGAACTGGGATTGAATCAGATTCACACGAAGTGTCTTCTTCAATCTCCGGTAGATTTGGACCAGTTCAGCGACTGGCGACTCTGCAGCTGCGGGCCCTTGTTGAAGCGGACTGGTCGGATTGATTTCCTCTGCAGAAGGGAAGAACCCGGGCATGGGCATTCTCGCGGTGGGGAGGAATTGATGGGACGGCGGCGGAGAGACCGATACCATCAGCTGCTCAATCTTCGATGACAGAGACGGAACTAGTGTCTTCGTGAGATACTCGAGGAAGACCTCCCGGTATGCAGGCGCTTGGACCGTGTCCATATCCATGATCAGCGGATAGTTGGGTGATTGAGACAAGGTATCTTTCACGCCAACATCGATGAAGTGGTCAAAAGATTGCTCCGTGTTCAAGACACCCGGGTACGACTCTTCCTTGCCCTTCCAGATGATGGGCAAAAAGGCATTCCCCAGAGCTTTGCAAAGAGGACAGACGAACTCTTTGAGAGACAAACGCTCCGGGTGATTGCGTGCGACTTGTTGGGTATGACGCCTCTGCGTTGCATTGTAATAGACCTCAAAGCACGAATAATGCATAATATGCCCGCATCCCGTGGTAACAGGTCCACGAACTGTGTTCTTAGATGAGAAGCCTTTGCTCAGACCAATCTTCTCAGTGAGCACTTCACCGCCCGAGGAGTCGAGTTTTCGAACCATGGTGCGGTTCTCTCCCGCCACACCGAACGGTCGAAGATGCTCAGCAGATCGATCCAAGCTTGAAGGCGTTTTGAGAACCTCCCTAATCCAGTCGCGGTCACGGATATCAGTCTGGCGCAGGATGCCGCTGTCCTGTACCAAGGCAAATGTGCCGTAGAGTCTCGAGTCATTGGTCTCTTCCTGGCACAGGATACATGTTCCGCTGGGATACTTCCAGAGCTTGGTTTCAGCTTCACCTTGTTCTTCAGACTCAAGGTCGCTAAAGTCTTCATCTCCCCAGTCGATATTTCCCTGGCTATTCAGGAAATTCTGCTGCTGTTGCTGGAACTGGGCCATCACTCGCGCTTGTCGGTCCAATGCTTGCTTCTTCTTGAGTTCCTGTTCTGCCCCCGCATTGCTTGCGGGGGAACCGGTATCAAGCCTCTCATACGGGAATTTCAGAGTAGCAGTTGCGGATGCATATGTGTTGGGCCGCTTCTGCCACATCCTCTTGAGGATATGCATGATCTTCGCGCTGCAGGACTCGTACTCGCTCATGGTGGAAATCTTTTCCAGGAGACCGATAATTGTCAGATTCCCAGCCTGTGTGGTCCTGGACTTCGACAGCGCGTGTGATATAAATGAATGAGACGATTTGTCTTCCATGTCATCCTCGTCGGTATCATCCTCGATTGTAGCAACGAGGATCAAGTGAAGCACGATTTGAAGGAAGGTCTCCACGCGGGTAACAGGAATCTGTGGTGTGCAATCCTTGCAGCACAGTGCGTAGTCGAGACACTGATGGACAATCTGAGCGAACAGCGGCGTTCTCGTAAACTCTGATAGCCGTGCAAACGCGCCGCTCGTAATCGGCCGAAGCTTAGGCTCGAAAACAATATCAGATGCCTTTTTCCCGGTCTTCTTGGCCACCCAGTTCCGGTAAATACTCTCCGCCTCATCTCGTTGATTCTTGTTGTAGTGGGCACTGTAGGGATCCACAAGATCGATGTAGTCGGACTTCAGTTCAAAAGTACCCGTGTCATTTAAGCCTTCAGGTGGACGGAAGGTGGCCACTTCCTCTAGGACATCTTGGAAAATGTCAGTCTCGAGCAGCTTGTCGCTGAGACGGGTTGACAAGTCTGAGAAGGAGAGTGGCTTGAAGCATAGGACGTGCGCGATGTCTCGGCTGATATTCTCACGCGTGAGGCTCGCGTCATCATCAATCGGTATCAGAGATGTCCGATCGGTAATCAAGATGATCAGCAGATGGACAAATTCCTCCGCGACATCCACAATCTGCGAATCTTCGTAGCCGGAACGAGGGATGTAACCTCTACACATCCAGTCCACCATACCAAATCGGTCGGCAATTGATGCAAGAACCCTGCTTGGATCGCACGTCACCAGAGCAGTCTGGAGCAGGAAGATATCGCGATAGTATGCAAAGTCGCGAGATGACACCCCCCGGTATTGTGACATCTGATGGCGAAGGCTGAGACCGTTGCGTACCCACATACCGGCCTTCATCTGGGCGAGCCAAGCACACACCCTGAGCGGGTAGTCAAACATCGTTAGGAGGAGATCTTCGTTGCTCAGGTGTCTATCATGGACATGCTTGTCATTGGCCACCTGAGCGGCCTGCAGCAAGATGTCTCGCATCATTTCGCTGCTCATTCCCCTGCCACATTCGAGCAGCCATGAAAGCGTGTAATGAAGGGCGTGATGGAAACTGATCGAGCCCTTTTCAACAACAAAGTCCACCACGCGGTGACGTGGAATCTGTCCTGAGGGCTGGACCTCAAAATCGAAGCACGGCAGTAACTTGAAGCGAACGTATTCTTTAATTTCGGCTTGGTCGAATCGCTTTCTCTCCACGCCGGTCGAGTGGACAATGGCCGAGATGGCAGCGGCCTTGATTGCACGTATAAGATTCTCGCCAGCGGCCTCCGGATGGCGAAATGCTTCACAGAACTGACGGCAGAGCCGGTTGATTTCCCTCATCAGGATAGAAGCGCTGATCCACGCATCTGTCTCGTATTCTACATGTTCGCCGACTGCGCGCACGTTGGGACAGATTCCCTGCGGTAGCTTCACGAGATCAAGGAATTGCAACAGATACTGGTCTTCATTGCGAATGCGCTTCTGCACATACTCGGATTGCAACAGATACCGCAGGTCGAGGAAGAAGTGATAGAGACGTCGATTGGTCACCGACCCAGCGTCGAAGGCCAGGGTTGCCGTTGGGTTCACTTCATGAGGCTCGCCGACTTGCCGAGTAGTGAGGAAGGTGTAGAGGATAGCCATGACTTTGGTGAGGAAATTTCCCCGTTGAACAATTTCCTCCGTGATGGATGGAGTCGTGAGGAGCTGCAAAGAGAGATTGACGATCGAATGATCCGGTTCTCGATCGGCAATCAGATACAATTGGGCCAGAGCAGTGTAGAGCGCCGACAAACGCAGACCCAGGATCCGCTTAAACTGAGGGACATTGACCACAGTGCTGATATACAGGTCTCGAAGATCTGTCCTAGCCTTTTTCCACAATCGGAGATCGAACAGGATCATCCAGTCTAAGCGAGTGCGCTGGCTGAGATCTTCATAGGGAGGGACGTCTCCTTGTGGGGGAATGGCTGACCGAGCCTGCCAATGACTTGGGGTCTTCGCAGGCGGAGGCTTGACGGAGATTGTGGGAGTCCTGGGGATTTTGACATGTGACGTTTCGGGCTGAGGCGTTCTGTCTCCAGATTCAGATTCCTCAGCTGGCCCTTGCGTACCATCACCTTGGCGTGGAGGAGGTGGCGGCGGTGGAGGAGGATATCCAGCCAGGGTCGCCTCAGCGACCTCGAGTTCATCATCTGCGTTGCCCATTTCCATGTCGCCCTGCTGGTCGTTTTCGACTTCCTCTCGAAGCCGGTCCAGGTCAATTTCCATTTCATCATATTCTTCCTCTTCTTCCTCCTCATGTCCTTCGACGTACTCCTCTTCTTCCTCTCCATTCTGGCCTTGCTCCTCACCATTTTCCTCGACTTCCTCATCCTCCTCTGAAGCTAGAACAACCTGACCTTGAGGCGACACTGTCAATGTAATTGCTCGATAAGGCCCATGGTCGGTCCTCTCATGGTCGTCAATGCCCCTCATTCCGATATCCGCATTGTACGCGCCACTGCCCCGCCGCCAAGGTCGTAGAAGCTCCTCACAGACGACAAGGCGCAGGATCTCATTGTCGTCACCGAAGCTGCAGCCGGCAATATCGGCAAGCCACTCAACAATCGTCCCGCACATCTGCTCCCTGAAGGTATCTCGGGAAGAGCGTATTGTCACCGTGACTTTGATCTGTTCAATGGTCTTGGACACTTGTAGTAGTCTTCCCAGATCCTTGGAATACTTGACCACACTTCTGCCGATATCGTTCGTCTCGTGTGCTTTGGCATAGCCGAAGCTGTCTCGTTCCCTACACGCCCGTGTAACCTGGTGAGCTACATCACGAATGGTATGCTTCTCATCGTTCCAAAGTGCGAGAGCAAACTCCGGCTCCTCTTCCGGCTTGTCGCCCTCGCCATACCACCCTGAATGTAGTCGTGATGCCTCCTCATCGTGCCGGATTCCTTCTTCCGTCTTGGGCAGCCTCAGCTGCTCCGGTGAACACGAGATAACATCGCAGAAGTAATCAAGCGCTCTCGAAATTGTTGTCCTGATATCATCCACCCATTCTTGCGGCAACGGGGCTTTTTCACGCTCTTTCCCTTTCGTGTCGCCTTTATCGGTATGAATTGCACAGCACAGGGGCACCCGCCATGCCTCTTCATCACCGCAGTCACAGCATCCACAGTTACCAGACGATAGCGAGATCTGGTACTGGTGACCAGTGTGATCCGAGGCGTCGAAGCAGCGACTGCACAGAACGCACGTGTCATCCGCGGCGCAGGTAAGGCAGCGGTATGTCCCTTCTCCGGCCCGAAAGATGTGCCCGCACCTCTTCCCTCGGGCAGCTTCGCTGTATTCTGCACCTTCCTTGGCCCCCTGCGCCTCCGCTAGCTTCCATCGTCCGTCGGTCGGCGGTCCATCTGGGAACAGGAGCTGCAGGCGTTCGGTATCATGTCCCGCGAGAGAGAGGAATAGCAGTTCCAGCAGATCCCGCTCCGCTTCGGGACCGTAGCGGTAGTTGTGCTTCGCCGGCAGGCGCAGAAGGCCTTCGCCGAGTCGCTTCTCACATTCCGTGAGCATGGTGTGAGACGCTATGTCTTATTTCGGGGAACCCATGCGTGGTGGATGCAATTAGAAAAAGTCGTCTGCTGCGATGAGGGGTGATAGGCCCGGGGGGGGGGGTAGTTTCGGCAGTTGAGGAAGCAGGTAAGCAGGACCGATATTCGACTGACGATTATCAGGAGTCGGCGGATTTTTGTATTTTTCAAGCTATCAACAATGGAACTGTGGCAAGAGTCAGTGTTGGTAGGTGATCCATGCGATAAGGTATTAGTAACGCATACGCGAGGCGATGGTGGGACTCGGGGAGGGGAGGTTTGGAGATACGCAGCGAAGCGCTCTCAGGTGCAACAAGAGTCGCGGAAAAGAAAAGGAGAAAACTCGATGCGAAGCTCTCTCAGCGGCAACCAATGCTACTGGCTAATTTCTGGGACGAAAAGGCAAGAAGATTGCCCGCAGTGTCAGGGAGGAGCGTGGAAGAAATTCGAGGTGGAGGTGCGGTGCTGCAGGCGAGTGTTCTCGCTATGACATAGTCGAGCTGGGCAGAGCTCTCTTGCTAGCGCCACCCGGCCTGCAGAAATGCTGTCGAGTCTCCGCCACCGCCCAATCAGTAGGCACGCACGCCAACACAGGGCTACTGGCATTCGTTTCTAGAGCTACGATTGAATTCTCTGTGCGCTAGGATAAATAGTAATAATGAGATCAATGCTTGGAACGGTAATAGATTCAATGAAATGGCGGAAATTCTATTGATTTGTCCACCCCGAAGGGAATCACATAAGATACACGGAATTGTTCTTTTTTTCCCCATCAAACCACCAACGAGCGCAATTCGAGACCAATTGCGTCGCGTTTACTCCTCTTCTTCCTCCGGCTTCTGGATGTACTTGTGACGGATGTCCTTCCATTGCCGCTGTACAGGTGAATCAGCTGGGTGTTCTCCAATCTCGCTCTGAATGGATCAGTCATAACGTACGCCCTGGTTCATGTAGTCCCAGATCTTGTTCGACGCCGTGTCGAATGCACTGTTACCGCGAACCAAAAGTTAGCCGCCTGTTTCTTGGGAACAGAGGGAAACCGCCGTATTCCGACACGGACGGAACAAGACATACATCTCGAAAGCGAAGGCGCTAGTGAAGATGGTGGTCAGGAAGACCGCATTCCTCTGAATGAAGGTCCTAGAAAATAGCATCGATCGATTAGCAAGGCGAGTCTGGCTGGTACGTCATGGTCGGCATTGGACGTAGGGAGACTTGCTGGTAGATGAACGAGGACAACTGGGCCGAAAAGCTCGCGAGTTAGCCATTGAACCCCAGAGAGCACACAGCAACGGGTATAACTTACGCCAGCCATTTTGACAGAGGCGACTATGACAGAGGAGAGGAAGTGGAGGAGTCGAGAGACGAGACAGTGCTGGTATCGGGCAGTGAAAGGTCGTCTGTCGAGGTTGCGGATGAAGTTGGCGGCCGAACGCGAAAAGCGTCCCGTAGCCGGGAATCCCCGGCTCGCTGATTGGCCCACCCACGCGCACCCGGCAGACATCACCAACGGCACTCCCCCGGCCACATGGTGAATGCAAGTCCAAGACACTTATTATTTCGCCCTTGTCTTGCAGCAAGACCTGCTTCTCTTTGTCGGCCTCGTATAAATTCACTGACTCTCTTTACCACGATACACCCACACTGCATGGTACACTCCCTCCCAACAGCCTCGCGCTCTCGTCAGCCATAAACCAAAACCACCATGTCTTCTGCACCGCAGAACAAAGTCTCGTCGTCCGGCATAGTCGTTGATGCCGTGACTGGCGAACGACGCGTTCCATCCTCTATGCGCGCAGACGGCTCTATGCGCAAAGAAATCCGCATTCGTCCCGGGTACCGCCCTCCAGAAGATATCGAAGTCTACAAGAACCCGGCTGCAGAGGCCTGGAAGAAGCGCGGCTCGTTCGTCCCCGGTGCAGAAGGTCTCAAGGATAGCCCGCAGCCGAAGAGTGGAACGCCTGTCAGCAACAAGAACGCCAAGAGAAGAGAGGCGAAGAAGAGAGCCAAAGCAGCAGGTGCTGGCGAGGATAACGCAGCGTCAGCGACAGACCAGAAAGACGTGACGAGCGCCGCTCAGACCAACGGTGACAAGACGAAAGAGGAGCAGCCTGCCGTCGACCCAGAAGCAGAGAAGGAGAAGAAGGTCCGCAACCTGAGGAAGAAGCTCAGACAGGCACGAGAACTACGGGACAAGAAGGATAAGGGCGAGTCTCTACTCCCAGAGCAACTGGAGAAAGTGATCAAGATCAACGAGATCATCCGCCAGTTGGAATCTTTAGGCTTTGACGCGGACGAGGAGAAGAAAGCCTCCGTCGAGGGATAGATAGGTCCACGGAAATCCTGTGAGCCATGGCGCCTTGTCTTCAAAACGGTGCACCTCAACAAAGGGCCTCAGCAACAGCAAAAACTATCAACGCCATATCGACTACACTTGTGTTTTGTGTCGAAATGGCCAGAGGCATACGCCCTGAAATATTGCAAGCAGACGAGACAGTACAACAATTTCATCCGACCGGTGATACAGTGGATAGCTTCGAAGTTCGAACGCGAAGCTCGTTACCATCTCATACCATACTTTCCTGGATCCTCGGGAGAATTTCAACGAAGGACAAAAAAAAAGACAAAAATAAATCACCACCCTCCCGAGTGAGCCACGCTTTCTCTCGCAGTGACCCGGATGGAAATAGACACGACGACTACTGTTACTACTACTGCTCCCTCTACTACTACCTCTACTACTACTACTCGATTCTAGCCGAATTTATTCTCCCACCCCGGCTAAGCAAGCAAATATTCACAAAAGAAGAGGAAACACTCCAGCTAGGAGGGGGACTGGAGAATGGAATTGATACCCCGCTTTGGAACTCAACTCAACCGGCGAAAAAAGCAGAGTAAAGCAGAGTAGCTTCATGCTCGATCAATGCTTAGCATACCTATTCATGTACATACAGTACTCTAGCTAGCTAGCTATGTATCAAATCCAAAAAAAAAATTAGACCTCAATTAAATTGAATTGAACCCTACCTAGCATTGGGATACCTCAAGACCTCAAGTGATCTATCTATCTCATCTACCTACCTACTTAATATACATATACAACATATACAGTCAAAGCCTCGGTTCCCCTTTTTTTCCCGGCTACCTAATACCTACCTAATATCTAATCGACAGCCTGTTACGTTTCCCAAAACGGATCCTAAGGCCTTCTTCTCACTGAGCTGTCTCAGTATCAATACACACAACTAGAACCGATCAAAGAAGAAAAGAAAAGAGAAGAGAAGAGAAGAAGCTCAACTGAGTGAGCGGAGCGCCCACAGTGCCGCCATTCCATTCCGTTGCTTTGACCTGACCTGACCTGACCTGACCTGACCGGGTGACAACCCAGCCAAGCTCTCCCCCAAGGGACGGACTCAAGAGGGTCAGGGAGATAGATAGATGGGTCCGGGAAGGAGGCACTCATTCATAACAGCCATTTTTCTTTTCCCACTCAATTCAACCACGAGACGAGCCCTTGGGGGGTGTTACCAGGGTCTTTCTTTTCCTTATTACTGATATATAACCCCTCCCCTTCCCTTCCAAGGTCTACAGTTCGACTCGTACTCGTAGGTAGATCAGGCGCTTTTGTTTTTTTTTGTCTCAATCGCGAACCCGCACTGGACTACCTGAAAAGAAAAGAAAAGAAAAGAAAAAAAAATTCCCAATGCGAGGCGCTCTTCGCTAGGATCTGCACATGACCATGACTATCCTGCTAGACTAGACAGAAGAAACAAATGATAATATTACTCTGTACTTCTGAGCAATTCAATTCAATTCAATTCAGTCCAAATACAGCGCCGCATCTTCAGGCGTTCCGACAAAGTACCGCACCGGCGCCGTCGCGATGCCCCCTTCTAGGTCCCAGTCGCGGTAGTTCAGCCGGCTCAGCGGCTTGGTCATCTTGCCCGAGAGATCGGGCCGGTGGGCGCCGACGCCGTACGACGCGGCGAGGTACGCCTGCGAGATGCAGTCCGTGACCCCGATGCCGTTGATGTTGTACCAGTTCCCGGCTAGGGTCAGGCGCTGGTTGAATTCCTCGCGCACGGCTTGGGACAGGTCGTCCATGCGGGAGAGATGGCCCACGGTGTGCTGCGGGATCGCGTTGCGTTGCAGCTGAGCCTTTGCCACGGCGGGAGATTCCTTGATGCCGAGATGGCGCTCGAGTAATGACCGTGCCATTGAAATCGCCGAGTCCGCGTCCGGATAGTCTGACTCCAGCCAGCCATCCCACCAGTGCCCCCCCATTATGACGGTGAACTTGGTGCCGGGCGCAGTGTCTTGGCCGGCGCTCGTGTCGGTGCCAAATATGACCCCGAGTGCCCGTTCGGGGTTTTGATCAAACGGGATCGACCGAGGGATGAGGTAACCGAAACCGTGATATGGAATCAAATCCGGCTTGTCGTAGTACAGGTTCACGACCATCACGGTCACGGCATAGTCGTGCTGCTGAAGTAGTCTCGCAGTGCGGTGAGGTACTTTCTGGTCACCTTCAGCACCCGCTAGAATGATCTTGGCCAATTCAGGCGCCGGCGCTGTAGCAACGATGCGATTGTGAGTTCTAGAGTTGCCCTCTCCGAATCGAACCTGCAGATGAGATTAGATCGTCGTCTCAAGATATCGACACGCTCGTCTCAGTCTACCTACCGTCAATTCAGACGTTTCTTCGTTCCTGCTAATGGCACTAATGCCTGTGTCAGTCAATACTTCAACCTTTTCAGGCATCTCTTTGAGGCGAGCTGTCAATTCCTTGACTAGCTCGCCCAGTCCGTTCTTCAAGGTCAAGACACTTGAGCCTTGCACAAGCCGACTAAGAGACCGCCAATGATCCTGGGGCCGTTCATGTTCGACGGCATGCATAGCAAGCATGTCGTCTGTAGCAATAAATCTCTTCCCATCCCTCTGAAGCTCGTAAAATGACGACATGACGCGCTTCTCGTTCTTTTCAAGGTCTCGGTATGGACCCATCAGCGTCTGCGCGCTGAGTTTATAGATGTCTCCCGCGAAGATTCCATGGTAAATGGCAGAGACCACATTATCAGCAACTTTCGAACTTGTTCTCCTGGCGACAAAGTCTGCCACTGACTCGTCCTGATTCCGGTACGCATCCTCTCCCGCTGGCCTCGCCTGTTCGGTGAGCATACCCCACATTAACTCCTCGAACACTGGCTCGGTGATAAGGGCTTTCGTGTTATTCCAAAAATTCCCGAAGACCCCCAGATTGGGGTTCGCAGACGGCACACGCACGAGATGATCCGGATAGTAGATGTAGCGATTCGTCGCGGCAGGAGACTTCCGACTCGTGACTAGGATTTGATCCTCCAAGTACAGGTCCAGAAGCTATAGCAACGATAATGAATTAGCAATCAGCCTCTCATTACATATAGCAGGCTCAGGTTCACCAGCACATCCGTACCAAGTCCAGCGTGGGGAGGCACGCTGGCATCCCGACCCTCAACGTCCGCGGTCCATACTCAAAGACGACCTGCCCACCATCGACATCCACCGTCTCTGACTGCAACCAGCCGCCCAGCCGGGAAGATTTCTCGTACAGCGTGACCTTGGTGCAATCCGGGTCCTTCGCCAGCCTGTAGGCGGTGGTGAGGCCTGTGATCCCGCCGCCTATGACGGCGGCGTCGAACGGTTTAGCACGCGAGTGGACGGACCGGCTGCGGCCATGATTAAGGACTGTCAATTGTCGTCGAATCGTCCGGAATGCATGGCTAACAAGACATGGTTTCTGCATTGCCGAAGACAGGCATGCCAGAACGCGTTTGACCGAGTGACTCGAGGGGCAGCAAAGAGAGCAAAGAAAAGAAAGCTGCGGCGGAGCTCCGTCGGCGAGGTTCAGTAATTACCGCCGCGCTGAAAGTTACGGCACGTGCATACGTAATAAGCAGGATGGCACACTAGAGTGCTACGACGTCAACCACATAGCTACATACTCATTTACACTCCTTCATGGGCAGTTACAATGACTTCACACCAAGTCTTAACGCTTCTGCATTCTCCCGAGTTCATTAAATCAGAATTCAATGTACATACATTCAACGCCCCTTTTTCCCAAGTCTCGTCCGCCCGTTGCAGGATAATACATGATAACAAAACCCATGGGAATCAGAACAAGAAAATGAAATAAAAGGTGTGGTCAATGGCCAGCCTGCAAAATCCCCGCGCAAGCTGCAGAGTATCATTCTCAGCTCCTTCCATCTCAAGTGATCAGCTCCTGGCCTTGGGAGCCTTCAGGAGCCGCGCCGGGCTTGATCAACTCCTCCTCCGCATTCTCATCTGCAACAAACTTCCTTTCGCTGACATGGGTCTTCTCCTTCTTGTCATCCGCAACCCACACTTTGTCTGCAAAATTGCCTTTCTGGCCCTCCTTGTGTTTGTAGGGACAATTCCGGTTAAGACAGGGATGGAATTTGCATGGCGTCGTAAGGTGGGTGAATTTGCATCCAGGGACATTGCAATCAGCACCGTTGCGACATAATGGCATGCTAGGATGCTTGAATGGACAGTGAGGGTTTGCACAGTGAGGGAAGAAGCGGCAAACTTCTTCGGCTTGATGAGCTTGCTTCAAGGCTGGAGATGGGTGACGTCCAGTACACTTCTTGTTTTTGCATGCGGGACCAAAAGGGCAGGTATCCGTCACGTCGACAAGAATGCCTTCGGGCGCAGCAGGTGATTGGTGTGCATAAGGACAATCCTTCTTTGTACACCGTAGATTATACCGACAGACAGTGTCCGTGTTGACTTCTCCCTTTTCACCATCCTTCTGAGTCTGATCCGCAGTCGTGTCCATCTCTCCATCGGGCGCCGTCTGCTCATCAGGTTTCTTGACCGAGATTCCATTCTGTGCCGCCCGGGCGGCGAAGTCGCCCCCTTTGTTGCGCTGCGGCTGTTCGACTCGTTCAAAAAGAGATTTACCCTGCTGACCCTGTGCACCTTGTTGGAAATTCGGGTTCACCGCAGGGGGCATAAAGCCGGGCATGAGCTGGGCCATCATTCTCGCTTGCTCTTCGAGAAGAGCCATGAGCTGCATCTGGTTCTCCGGGCTCATCTGCATGATATTGCCTGCTGGAGAGCCCTGCATCTGTCCACCCTGCATCCCGTGACCCATTCCTCCCATTTGTCGACCTTGGCCCATTCTTCCGTGTGGACCTCTGGGACCCTTGTGAAAATCACGGGCGTGCGAATTGATGCGCCCTAACCCGGGCTGAGCGCGAACGCGATGGAGCATCGAATCGCCGCTTCGCTCCATGTTCTTGTTGATCTGGCCTAGTAGTCGGCCTCGTCCACCTTGTCTGCCATTGCGCATGGCTCGAGGACCCGTTGGCCTAGTCCAGTCGCGGTTAGTCAGGGATTTGCATGGAGTCAAAGGACTGGGGTATACATACACAGAGTCGCCTTGACCCGAAGCTTCACCCATCTCCGCATCCTGCTGGTTCTGTTGAGATGGGGCGTTTCCTTGGTCATTGAAGGATGGGATGGCTTGCGTAGAGGGAGGTTGTTCGGAGGTAGAGGACGCGCCGTTGATCTGTTTATCAAGAATCTCGACCTGTTCGAAGAGCCAGCGAGAGAAGTCAAGAGCTTGCGTGTCACCTTCACCCAGGTTGAGAAGGTCGTTTGAAAGCTCATATGCGATCTGCTCCTGGGTTTTGCCGTTGACAAGCATGAGAATCACGTATTCTGTTAGAGCCGAGTCCTCGCCGCCATCAGCGCTCCATCCCATTTCCACCAGCTTGGGCTGCACAACATTGCTTAGGGCTTCCGCCAGAGGCGTGCCCAGGGTCACCACAGGTGGCATGTTTCACAGAGCTTGCAGTCAAAGAAACACGAACAAGACGATGTGATCTGGGAGACCAGAGACAGCAGAAGATAAGAATGTGTCGAGGGAAGAGCTTTCTTCCCACGCCACCTGGGTGAACCAGATCACTAAAATAGAATAGGCACCGAAAATAACGAATAGACCATCAACCTGGGCCGTGAGATAACAGGATGAGAACCCAGAACTGGCGAATACAGTACAGGAACGATAATGGGGGAGGTGCGTGCGTTCCTTCAGGTCGCGCGGGACTGGGATGATGAAAGCCGGTGATCACCTTCCGGCGGTGGTTGAGCGGGCCAAGACAAGAGCAGCCACAGCCATCACCGCCACAGTATTGAACAGCCACAATAGTCACGGTAATACCCAACCATCCTGTGTGATTAGTCATCAGTATTATCGTCTGTTCAGTCACTGGAAATTTGGAGGATTACACATAAACTTACAGAGTAATTCCCATGGATGCTTAGAGATATTCCCAATATATTATTACTGCTAATAAATATTCCTACTAATATGCCTAGGCATTTTGTATCAGGCCTGGCAATGGCCAACTTATAGCCAGATAGCCAGTTCCTATTTCTAATCTTCTGATTGTAGAGAGGTAGACAAATATCTCCATTGCAGGTTACCAAGTACTGGATAGCCAGTTTTAGGGATGCGATAACAAGGGGAAATGAATATTGAGAAATGAATATTGACGTTCCTAGAAAATCTGATGTCACACGAAGCGCACGTGCAGTCAGCACTCAATTTCGAACCCAACCACGACCTGCAGCCTTGGAGAAATACGACTCCCCTTTTTGTGCATTCGAACCAGAAAAAGCCTCCAATCGATCGAATCGATAACTGTTCCTTCGTTGGACGGGCTCAATTAATATTACTACGAGGTTAATAATGCCATGCAGTCTTGTTTTCCGAGCCCCGACCGCGCCGAGGGATCGTGGGTTGACACGTGCATCGCGATAACAGTTCTGCCTAGTTGGAAAGAAGGGAAGTCTATTATCTTTGTCGACAGACTCTGCTTGAATTAATTAGACTTTTTTTTTTACAGGGATAGCTGCCAATGACTGCTTTCAAAGACCCCACAACTCCGCACCGTTATGCAGCTCGCAACTTGGCACGATCCCTCCATTTCTGCACGCTCGGGCGTCGGCTGTCGGTCAGGGAGTACCCCGGACATGCCTCTAATGTACGTAACTGCATGCAGGCCAACGGCTACTTAGTACTGACTTAATAGTAGTATTCAGTGACTACAGCCTCATGTCGAACCAGAGAATTGACTCAACCACAATCCACTCGTCGTGGAGACCGAGTTCCGAGTTCCGCCACCATGGGAATCAGCCTGAGAATGTCCAGTCGCCTTAGGCAGTTAATCCCCAGGCCTCTTCCCCGTGGAGTTCAAGCTCTCTAAAGCAGGACGAATGCTCCAGTCAAAAGAAATAGGCTACCGTGGGATGAAATTAGCGTCCAGCGGTTTGTCAGCTAGACGCTACCACGGGTCTCGGATTTCGCGGATAGTTTTCCCCGCAGTTCCCTATATGATCTCCTATCAACCCCGTGGAGATGCTAATTCGTATATACACCGTAAGGGGAGAATATATCTAATGGCTCGTCAGTATTACCCCTATACTAATTCTACTTTATCCTTTGTTGCTGTTTAATCGTTGGTTTCTTGGAGAATCCAAATTATATACTCTCTACTATATAAGGCTTCAAGATAGTGTGCTGTCGTCATCGGTCGAAGCTGACCTCTGCAACATCTGCTTTTCCCTCACAGAATACTACAGATCACCAGTCGTTGATCTTCAGGATCGCAAACCATGATCGAAGCGATCCTGGCGACGCTCTCGCCTGGAAAGGCCGCCTTGGGCCTCCTGGTCTTATTGACCGTTCTGTTCTGGGCGAGAAAGTTGCAAGTCTCCATGCAGGTCGCCCGCTTGGGCTCTAGAGCTCCAGAGATTCCAACCTATCTTCCTGTTGGTGAGTATCTCCCGGAGAGTGTTTCGTCCTGTCATTTTATTTAGCGACTAGCGTGTCGTTTCGTCCTATATCTTTCCCAGTATGAGTCCAACCAGTAGACCACAAACTGATGTGCATTTCCAGCTGCCGATTTCATTTACAAAGGCTTCAAAGCCAGCAGAAAGTTCAGGGATTTGGAACACTGGAAAGAGTCTCTGGAAGCCACCCAAAAAGCCAATCGTCTCGCCCATCTTCCCACCACGGTGGAAATCAACTCGCTGACAGAGAACCGGATCATCTTCACCTTTGATCCGGAAAACATCAAAGCGATTCTGACCGGCCAGTTCGCCGACTATGGAAAAGGTGAGCCTTTTCACCAGCAATGGAGGGAGTTCCTCGGCGACAGCATCTTCACCACCGACGGGGAGCTCTGGTCGGCCTCCCGGCACCTGATCCGGCCCATGTTCGTGCGCGACCGCATCGTCGACACCGAGATCTTCGAAAAGAACGTCCAGAAACTGATCAGCCTCCTGGGAGGCAGCGCCTCGCCGACGGGAACTAAGATTGTCGAGGTATCCGGACTCTACTTCCGCTACACCCTCGACGCCGCGACGGATTACCTGCTGGGAGAGGGCACCAACAGCTTGGACAATCCGACGGTGCGGTTCGCGGAGGCTTTTCGATACGTGCAGGCCAGACAGTCCGAATATTTCCGAATGGGGTAAGTCGTCTAACAAGTCAGTGTACATCAACATCACTGTCTAACAGTCGATCCTTTGTATGTACTGCAGCCCCCTCAGCCCGTTCATGTCGCGCAGGAAGTTCCGCCAGGAACTCAAAGTCATGGATGACTTCATCCAGCCGTTCATCCAAAAGGTATTGTCGCTCAGTCCGGAGGAGCTGGACAAGAAGCTGTCGAAGAGCGACACCTTCCTCGACGCCCTGGCCCGGTTCACGCGCGACCCGCGCGTCCTGCGCGATCAGCTGGTCTCGGTGCTTCTCGCCGGCCGGGACACGACGGCCGTGACGCTGTCCTTCTGCACATTCGAGCTGGGGCGCCATCCCGAAGTCGTCGCGAGGCTGCGGTCCGAGATCGCGCAGCGCCTCGGCCTGGGCGCCTCCGCACGCAAGCCGACCTACACCGACCTCAAGGAGATGAAGTACCTCAACGCCGTGATCAACGAGACCCTGCGATTCTACCCCGTCGTGCCCTTCAACGTGCGCTACTCGCTGCGCGACACGACGCTGCCGCGGGGCGGCGGGCCAGACGGGCTCTCGCCCATCGGCGTCCGGCGCGACACGCGCGTCGTGTACTCGACAATCATGATGCAGCGGCGGCCGGACCTGTACGCGGAGGACCTCGGCACGGAGCGCTACTTCGACCCCGGAAGATGGATCCCCGACCGGTGGACGTCGGGCTGGCAGCCCAAGCCATGGCAGTTCATCCCGTTCAACGGCGGGCCGCGCATCTGCATCGGGCAGCAGTTCGCCATGCTGGAGATGGGCTACACGCTGGTGCGCATTTTCCAGGCGTACGAGCGGGTCGTCGCCATGCCGGTCACAGGCAAGGACCGCGTCGAGGATCCGCCGATGAAGTTCGAGGTCACTCTCACGCCGGGTGCGGAGATGAATTGTGTGTTTTTGCGGGAGGGGGAGAGCAATAAAATGTGAAGTTGGATGTGAAATTATTTCTTCTTCTCTTCTTCTCGTCTCCTCTCTTTATTATTTGTTGTTTATTATTTCCCTTATTTACTCCCCTCCCACCAACCCTCTCACAAACCCACCCACTCACTTATATACATACATACATACTACCATGTCCATGATATGATACGATACGCTACGACCCGATACCATGTGCTTGATATATATATATATGAACCTCCTCCCCCTTTCTTCTCGTTTTCGTTTTCGTTTTCTTTTTTTTTCTTTTTTCCCTTTTTTCTTCTTTTTTTTATGACGATCCCCAATGATGTATGTAGTATTGTCTTTCTCTGTCTTTTTTTTCTTGAACAATATTTGTATCTATGTGTATATATAAATATATAACCTCATGTATCTAAGCAGGGGAGAAAAAAGAATGCTATTTACTGAACACCGTTAGCTTTTTATTATCTATCCTGTCCCCTCTTATCCTTATGTCTTGGCTTAACCTGAAGTTATAAATATTGACGTTATTATCATTTATTATCGCTATGGACTGTCTCCTTAAAACGAGTCTGCTCGAGTGTGCTCAAGTCTACTCAAGTCTGCTACTATGCCTGCGTTGCTGGTAGTTCCAAGTCAAAAGGGAGGGGAAAAAAAATTTTAAATTTTAACATGTATTGTGTAGGTAGTTACCTAGCTATGGCTGAGATGGAGGTAGGTAATCAATAGCAAGGAAGGTCTGGTATGGTACTTTATGTATCTATGTACGTACGTATGTAGAAACTGGCAGTGGCAGGTTATGTTGTTAAGAGAGAAACATCTCCAAATATTCATAGAATGAAAGGAAGGGGAGAAACAACAAAGGCAAAACTTGCTTTGGTATGTATGTAAGTATGTATGTATGATTGCAAGCTGGATGGAAGTGCAGATCCAAAGACTGAGTAAGACTGAATGGGGTATGTGGTCGCGAGAAGAATCGACAATGCACATGCATAATATCGTACTGTCGATTATCATCCGTTCTAATGACGATTTGCGGATGTAGCTGCTTGGCTTTGGAAGTAGCATGCAGCGTCGCACTTTGTTGACTCGTCTATCGCTGGACACTGCCATCGTTCTGTTTCTTATTAGTTGCTTGCTGCTGCTGCTGCCGCCATCTTCTGCTCGGCCTCCTTCGCCTTGTGCAATCCCAACTTCACCATGGGTGACTGCATCAGGGTGTCGAAGTTGTGTACCATCTGCGCCTGTTTCAGCGAGATGGGGATCTCTTCCACCGCGCGCGCCCGCATCTCCTCTTCGTACGCCCGCACGGCGTCAGCCAGCGTCTTTTCCCCCGCCGCTACAGCTTTCAGCTGCTCGACCAGCTGCGTCGCGTCTTGGAGGGCGTTTCAGTCCCTGCCCGCGATGCGGCGCCATCGGATGCGCGGCGTCGCCGGCGATCGTCACCACGCCCGCCAAGGGAGCTTCCGACCAGCTCGACGACGGCGTCCATATGCTGCAGCGATCCGTCGGGAAGGTAATGTCGTCGGGCACTTCGCGGGCAGCGGTCCGCCAGGGCTCCGCCCAGTGTTCAGCGCGAGATTTGAAAAACGCCGTGCGCGAGGCCTGGTCCGGGAAATCCTCCGGGCGGGGCGAACCCGACCATGACATGAACAGCTGGTACTTCCAGGTTTCCGGCGCGGATGGCGATGGCACATCCTGGATGGTGAGCAGGAACATGGTGTTGATGTCGGGATGGTAGCTGTTCTTCAGGATCGGGTGCCGCATCCGGAGAAATCGGGCGGTCTCTGCGCTGTACGAGCAGGTGAAATTGAACATGTGGATGTCAGTCGAAACAACCTGTGCGGCCTCTTTTCCGACCAGCAGCTCTCTAACAGTGGATTTGGCACCGTCACAACCGACCACGAGATCCCCAGAGACCGAACTGCCGTCTTCAAAACCCGCAGTCACACCGCGGCCGTCTGGACTTTTCGTGATAGTGGTGATTTTCTTGGGCATGGCAAACAAGAGCTCGCCGGTCTCGCCGTTATGATGCGGTATGGCCTCGTCCTGGCCATTGTAGTAAGGATCACAGCAGATTTCTTGGAGCCGCGCCATGAGATGGGGCGGGATGCATTTCGATATGTATTCTGTTCCCCAGTGCAGCGTCATCCCCCATTCCCGGGGCCGGGTCTTGTAGGTTGAGGCATCCTCCCGTTCGAAGATATGATACTCAATGCCTAGCTGGACACAATTTAAGCATATTTATTGTAAAGATATTATCCTAGGGAATGCTTCGTTCGCATACCTGCTTGAGCCCTTGGGCAAGAAGGAGTCCGGTCGTCCCTTAGTCGAAGTCAGGCTGCCTGTAGTGTGCAATGGCGAATGCAAGTCCGATACTAACCAGCTCCGATGATGATAACCTTTAACGAGGCCGTGGTCGCCATTATTGTCTATTATTGTCTTGGTCTTGCGGCATATCAGGACACCAAAATTCCGTAATCTTGGCACAACTCTTGGCCCACACAGGCCAGGAGAAACAGGTCAACAGAGAGTTAACACAGCGAAATATTCTTGCCCAATTGGTGCGAGAATATCAGAGGAGGTAGCATCCAGCGAAGAGAACCATGGATGGATCCGACCCATCTGCCGACGACAGCGGCGGGTTGGGGCCCCCCAAAACGGTGCCGCGCTGAGCCATGGAACCGCCGATTCATCCCGGGAGACAAGATGGCCGGACATGAACCAGTGGAGGACAGGGAACAAGCTGTCTCGGTGGATGAAAATGACGAGGGATATGCCGAATTGTTGATCTGAGACCCCCTTCTGCTGTGGCGTGCAATATTTGTTGACCTGATAATAGAGAAGGCTCTTCAACGTCATCACTCCGCTCGAGCATCTTCAATTATCCGGTCGAAAATGGCCGGCAGTATCACGCATACAAATCTGGCAGTAAGAGCCCCGTGCTTCCGGAGGAATTCTCGTCAGTTGATATGATGCTCATCCAAGTGCAGTGTATAGCCGGCCGAACGATGAGGTTGGTATTCCCCGGTAGGTATGGGGTTGGGTATGCGGTCTGATGTGGGTTAGGATGAACTCGATCGATTGGATCTGGTACATGCCATGTTCAACCTCGTCACGGAGGGCCGACTTCATTTGGCTCCGATCGGCAACAGTCCCCAACGGATCTTGGACATCGGCTGTGGCACAGGCCTCTGGTGCATCGAGATAGGAGATACCTATCCCAGTGCCGAAATCATCGGGATCGACTTGAGTCCGACTCAACCGATCATGGTTCCGCCAAACGTCCAGTTTGAGATAGACGACATCGAAGAGGACTGGACGTTCAGGCGACCTTTCGATTACATCCATTCGAGATACATGGCGGGCGCTATTCAAGACTGGCCGAGACTCATGGAACAATGCTTTCAGTAAGTCATAGTTCACATCGTCGTACATTCCCTGGGAGGCGTTGAGTGCTGAGCCTGACTTCCCAGGCATACCAAATCCGGTGGGTGGGTTGAATTCCACGACTTCGATCCCGATTACTATTCTCAAGACGGCACTCTTCCCAAGGACTGTCCTTTATTGAAGTGGTTGAATTACTGCCGGGAGGCGTGTGAGAAACGGCAGCGAACTCTCAACCCAGGGGGACGGCTGGGACAATGGATGAGAGACGCAGGATTCGTCAATGTGCACGTCGAGAAGAAAGTACTCCCGATTGGGCCTTGGCCAAAAGATTCTAGGCTGGTATGAGTCCTGGCTCTCTGCTATCTGACTGAACCTCGAGCAACTGCTGATCTGATGTCGTCTGTCGCTGCAGAAAAAGATTGGCCTCTTCAACGCAACACAACTGCACGACGGCCTGTCGGGGCTGAGCATGCGTTTATTCACCAATGTCTTGGGATGGACCCGTGAAGAGGTCGAGGTGTTCCTCGTCGACGTGCGCAAGGATCTGAAGAATCCCCAGATCCATGCGCTGATGGATTTGTGAGTCTTCCTCGCGACAGATCTGACAGGCTAGTGGTCATATTGACGGCATGCAGTTTTATTGCCTATGGCCAAAAGCCTTGAGTGTCTATCGGTTGGAGTTTGGCGTCAAGGATCTGGGACGGACGTTTGCATTAACACGTAACAAGAGAGGGAGTGGGAGACAGTTGTCACCTGACTTGTTTGACGAAGACACCCTTTGTTTAATGAGAAAGGGCGGCATGCTTCAGGGCGGATTTCTGTCAAGTCGTTCAGCATAGTTTCGAGCAATGCATATTCGTGGAATTAGTTTCAACCTCAGGTGTCTTGAAGAAAGGCAGAGAGAATGCTTGACTCGTCTGATCTGTAGACAGGCTTGGTGGCACGTGCTCCTGCACGCTAGCTCTTTCTGTCGCGATGCCTTCGCTCTCAGAGAACAACAGCTGCAAAACTACAGCGACAAGGAACGCAGCTACGTCGTGCACGTCGTTATTGTGTACAAAATACATACTTATCTGTATACATGTGTGCAGATGGCAGCATCTCGACAGAAACAATTGACATCAATCAAAATACAATGAAGAGCATCACGCGCCGTTCGTCGCCCTTGCTCGATCCTTAGCTTTCTGGAGCTTTTTCAACCGCTGTTGGATTTCAATCTTCCGCAATTCGAGCAGGAGATCCTCTTCGTCCGCCTCATCCAGGTCGTCAAAGACATGGCCACTGGCAGTGACAGGCTTAACAGCGCCATTCCCGTTGACTGCCGCGGACGACTTCTTGACAGCAGGCGCCGGCGCGGGCTCTTTCTCCTTGTCTTGCGCCATCCATCCCTTCGACATGTGGACGGCCTTCTCCCAGCGGGCAAACATTTCTGCACCCTTTTCGGGAGAAATCTGGGGCTCAAACACCGCCCCGCCGGCCCGGTTGATATCGCGCAATTCCGCGAAGTTGCGCCACAGACCGACAGCAAGACCGGCTGCAATGGCCGCACCGAGCGCTGTCGTTTCGCGCATCTTGGGACGGTAAACAGGGATGGAGATCAAGTCCGCTTGAATCTAGCCATGATCCAGTGAGTTTTCCATTCATACCACCTGCAAAGCGAACGTACCTGCATGGCAAGGTCGGAGTTGCTCATGCCACCATCGACAGCGAGTTCAGACAGTGCATGTCCGCTGTCCTTTTCCATCGCATCCAAGATGGCTTTGGTCTGGTAGCAGGTTGCCTCAATGGTGGCGCGAGCAATGTGGCCTTTCTGGGTATATTGAGTAATGCCGACTGGCTGCGCGTTAGATGGTCTTCTTCCCTGTTCCGTTCAGAGCCATGACTTACAGATAGTGCCTTTGGCATCGTCGATCCAGTAGGGCGCAAACAGCCCACTGAACGCGGTGACGAAGATGCATCCTCCATTGTCCTCGACTGTCGACGCCAGGTCATTGACTTCCTTGGATTCCTTGAAGAAATTGAGGTTATTTTGGAGGAATTTGATGCCGGAACCAGCGACGGCAATGCTGCCTTCCAACGCATAGACCGGTTTCCCGTCGAAATGGTAAGCGACTGTGGCCAGCAAACCGTGTTTCGATATGACCGGTTTATCACCCACATTGTATAGCAGGAAACATCCGGTGCCGTAAGTATTCTTGGCCATCCCCGGAGAGAATCCTTTTTGTCCAACCAATGCGGAAGACTGATCTCCTAGACAGCCTACAATCGGCACCCCTGCGAGCGTACCGGAAGCTATAGACCCGTATGCTTTCCGATCCGAGGAGGGGACAATCTGAGGAAGATGCACCCTGCCTTTGATACCAAAGAAGTCCAAGAGTGTGTCATCATATCGGAGGGTCTCTAGATTCATAAACATGGTCCGGGAGGCATTGGTGGGATCTGATACAAAAACATTGGCCTGCGGTCCGCCATTTAGGCGATATACCAGCCACGTATCGACCGTACCAAACGCCAGTCTGCCCTTATCGTACGCCTCTTTCACCTTGGGCACGTTTTCCAGCATCCAGAGCAGCTTGGTGCAGGAAGAATATGTCGACAGCGGGAGACCACAGATCTGCTGGAGGTCGCCCGCTCCTGGCTGGGCCTTCAATTCCTGGACAATGGCCTGCGATCGGGTATCGGTCCAGACAATGGCATTGTACAACGGTTCTCCCGTCTCGACGTCCCAGAGCACAGTGGTCTCTCTCTGGTTGGTAATACCAATTCCCTTGATACTAGTCCGGGAATGGCCCAGCGCCTCGAATTTCTTGACGGCTTCGTCGATACATGTCTCGACGGACGACACGAGTTCGAGGGGGTCATGCTCATGCCATCTGCGGACCGTCAGCCGTCAGCTCCTCTGGACTCGATGGAGCAGTTCTTCTGGGCTTACCCTGGCTTCGGGTAGATCTGTGTAAATTCGACCTGGTGAGAGGCAACGGGTTCTCCGTCTCGATTGAAGATCAAAAAGCGGGAACTGGTTGTGCCCTGGTCGATGGAGCCCACAAAGAGCTCCGTTGAGCTCGCCATGATGGGCCTCCTTCTTAACAATGGGATTGTGGTGTATATAGAGCCGTCCGGAGAAGACAGAAAAGCAGTCTTCCTGCCCGCAGAAGGCTGCTCTCGCTGCGGCAAGTGTTATCTATAAGAGTACGAGGCCGGGTTGTACAGGTCTCCGGTTTGCAGGGAGTCTGCGGGGTCGAGGACGGGGTTGCACCCGGCCGAGGGCGCCGCGATGGGCTACGCCCGATAGCCCCATGACTGGTTAGTAATTTTTACTGACCGATTGAGGCTGATCGCTAAAGGGAAATAATCCGGGGGGATCTGACGCCTTCTGCTGGCACGAGCGATGCGGAGATGGCGCCGGGATGCGCCAGCGGAAGCCCTCATTGGCCAGGCCGGGGCAGCTGTTAGGGGAACCGGGCTCCTCTTCACCGTCCACCCGCTCCAAGACCGCCGAAGAAAAACGCGCACAGAAGACAGCTACAGGGCAGTGCATTCCTGCTTTCTCTGGATCTAAGCCACAAATGCCGCTGCAGGGGGCCCCGTCATAGAGGAGGGCAGAGTCTCATGGGATTGGTACTGACGAATCACCCTCCGGACAGCCGCTGGGGCTAACTGGCCAGAAAAGACGCTCAGGACGCCTGACGACAGTATCGAAATCTCAGCTGGAACTCCGAGTGGCATATTTGGCCGTAATTATTACGACTGCACCATGTGATGTTCAGCCCCGGCACGACGCTATCCAGACCCTACGCCAAAGAGATCGGCACGGAGACTTCCCGTTGTGAAACCGCCGGTCAGCTTGCTCCACTAAACAAACTACAGGATGCATACTGTTAGCGTCAGAAAACGATCCAGAACGAAGAAATCTGGGGTACACATGTGATCGATCATTGGCAGGACTGCCCCTCAAGAAATGTTCGAGACCAGAAACTTCCATGCCCCGTCGCAGTCTCCCCGAGGGAAATAGCGGTATTCTGGAAGAGGTGTCTGCAAGACTGCCTCCATCATCTCAGACTGAATTCCAAGGCTTCATATCTTTATGCATACGTATAATGGACATGTGACAACCCCACACAGCGTCAGTGGCTGCTGTTTAATATTACACAACAGCGGAATCTTCTCGGGTGGCGAGCTCGAGCACGAGTTCTGCAAAACATCGATGCCGAGAGCGACGTCCCTTGGCGCTCTACCCTAGCCAGAGGAGCCGGCTACCGAGGACTTTCCCTTCTAAGTCAAGTCATGAATCCCTCGTGCTGGGCGTCAGCATCTTTCTCCAATCATCTAACATGCTGTCAGAAAAGATCAACCACGCTGGTGGTGACTGGTCGTTATGGAGGATTAGCACTGGATTTGTGTGACCGTCCGGCCGCGCCGGTCCGGATGGATAGATACCAGGCGTGAAAAGGATTGGACCCTGCAGAATCCATCCAGACAACCCTATGCTTTTGTGCTGTCAGTCGAACGGTATCCATGCAACCCTGTTTCGGCCGCATTCCTCGATTGGACGCCACCATGACGTTTCTCCTCTGCGCGCTCAGGTGGGGGATGTCATCATCTGTGATGGTTAGCAGTGCGGATTCCGGAGGAATTCGTCGATGACTGGTAAAAGGATGTGGAGTGTATCCAACGGTGCAGGATGACCGTGCAGACTGTACCTCGGCGGGTCGTGCATGTCTTGCTATAGCCGTGCGCTATAAGTACTGTATGTGCCGTGATGTGTGATATACATTGTAGCGATCGAAGTCCCTCATACATATCTACAAGGTTATTATATTCTGGGCTAAAATGGCAGCCAAGGATGACACGATCGAAATGATAGAGAGCTCAGAGAGCGGCGCCACTGCCTGCCACGTGGACAACCAGAAGACTCCGGATCCGCATGTGCAAAGCTATCCTGAGGATGAGTTGCGCGGGCAATTGCTCTGGAGCCGCATCCGGCATTACTGTCGGGAACCCTTCGCCGAGTTTTTCGGGACGATGATCCTGATCCTGTTCGGTGACGGTGTGGTCGCGCAGGTGACTCTCAGCAATGGGCAGAAGGGCAGTTATCAATCTATTTCCTGGGGTTGGGGGTACGCAAGTCGAGCCTTGATGAAAATGGCTTCTTGACTAATTAAGGACTTCTAGACTGGGCGTCATGCTGGGAATCTACGTCAGTGGGATATCTGGCGCCCATCTCAACCCGGCCGTGACGTTTGCCAACTGCGTCTTTCGCCAGTTCCCCTGGCGCAAGTTCCCCGCCTACATGCTGGCGCAGGTACTCGGGGCCATGTGCGGTGCGGCCATTGTCTACGGCAACTACAAGTCGGCCATTGATGTTTTCGAAGGGGGGCCCAACATTCGCACGGTGCCGGGATACTCGGACCATGCATCCGCGGGGATCTTTTGCACGTACCCAGCTCCATTCATGACCAAGACGGGGCAATTCTTCTCCGAGTTCATCGCCAGTTCGATCCTGATGTTTATGATCTTTGCACTCAAAGACGACAACAACCTAGGGGCGGGGCCGCTGACCCCGCTGGCGTTGTTTTTCGTCATCTTCGGCATCGGGGCGTGCTTCGGGTGGGAGACGGGTTATGCGATCAATCTGGCGCGGGATTTCGGTCCTCGATTGATATCCTACTTTTTGGGATACGGGCATGAAGTATGGGCGGCAGGAAACTATTATTTCTGGGTATGTCGTCCGAACCGGTATTTTCTGGGCATTCTAACGCGTGCACAGGTTCCCATGGTGGCTCCGTTCTTCGGGACTACCTTCGGAGGCTGGTTGTATGATATGTTCCTGTATGCGGGCGAAAGCCCGGTCAACACGCCGTGGATGGGGTTGAAGCGGTTGATCCGGCCGGGCAGGTTGGCAAAGGGGGAGATTGTTTAGTTGAAAGTTGGAGTTGAAAGTTATGAATCGGTGTTGGATACGGATGAACGGAGATTATCTGTATCAGTCGGAAACATTTTTAATTATATAGCTGGAGATGTATGTATTCAACAGTTGGAATTTATAAAGATTACGGAGTCTGTCCAAGACTGAAATAAACCTCGGAAGTTAAAACTCAGAGATTAAAGACTTGACGATCTACGTATAGTCGATAGATACATGGCAGTGAAGATCTCATGAAAAAAAAAGTTAAGACCATTCGGACAATAAATGCCCCCCCAACCGGATAATCCCGAAAACAAGGGAACGGCGAGACTAGGATACCTGAAGCCCTTCAGCCTAGACCAGGCCGTGAACGATGAACCGGGAAAACCCTGCTCGCTAATGCCGAAATCTACCTATCTCCCCTCGCCTTAGCCTTACGGTCTTACCGACTTGCTTAACTTTCTTTCTTTAGGGCCGGGGGTCCAGAAGTACGGCGTCCGTGCAACAGGACGGACTGGACTGGACTGGATTCGACTTTGGTGCCGATCGGGATAGCCGTGAAGATATAGGATAGTTGATTCGATTGGTTTCGTTGCTTTCTTTCTTTCTTAGGTAGGTCGTTAGTACCTAGTTAGTTTACTGTTAGCTATTATTTAGTTCTGAGTTAATATTTCCTCCGCACCAACTGGATAGGGTATAATGTACCCCACTTATCCAAGATACAAGTCTTGTACTGTCCACAAAGAGAGCATAATTCTCCTAACTACTGATGGATGTATGTATGATGGATGTATTGTTGGTAATTTGGGGGCCATGTATGTACTGTATGTACAGTACCGTTCGTTAGTCCAGTCCCGGCTGAGATGAGACGAGCTGAGCTGAGCGCTTTGACTTTTTTTTTGTTTCCTTTTTCTTTCTGTCGCACAAGTCTAGATTCTTGCTACGTACAGTAGATCTGCAGGTATGTATACATGTGCAGCGTGCTTACTCTATCTTAACCATGGTAGGCAGTCCTTAGCGGATGTTACCTTATCCTGCGGTACAAAGTTAGGTACTTACATACCTTAGGCACTTATTGCCTAATACATACATTGTACCTCGGCAGATATGTGGGGGAAAAAAGGTTTGGCGTAGGAAAAATGAGATGGGGCTGACGGACAAAAAGAGAAACAGACTGAGACAACGAAAAAAAAGAGTTAAAGAAGGAAAAAGTTAAAGTAAAACAAAAAAAAAGGTATGTTAGCTAACATGTGGATAAGGCAGTACTCAGGAGTAAATGTGAGTGAGACATGTTCCAATCGATCTCGATAGTAACGAACTCACTAACTACTGTACATACTGTATGTATGTACGGAGTACTCCGTACATACCGTCCATCTCTAAAATTTTCTCGCTCTACGAATTAATAATACTGTATTGTATATAAGTGTGACAGAACCCAATCTCATTCCTATCTGAGTAGTTTGGGGTGGTTTAACTACAAGAGACCAAGCTGGGGAAGGAAAGAAAGGAGGGAGAAGGAGGGGTTGGAGGTCAGTATGAGGGAAATATTAAAAATACTGCCTAGCAGAACTGCCATCGCCTTCCACACTGCCCACATGACAACATCCTGTGCGCGCTTACCTGAGACACCTGGCTGCAGATCGTCACAATAAGTACATGAAAATAAGACCAGAAGTTCGTCTAATCCACTTGAATTCAGTTAATTCAGATTCAGTTCTATTATTCGAATTCCGTATTTCGTGTTAGCTAGCCGTCTTGTCCTGTCCTGATCGTGTCCTTGGTATCGAGCTTACATATTTAATTGATAAAACTTGGATTTGATTCGATTTGTCTCAAAGTCAGAAAAAAAAAAGCATCGCCATTGTTGAAGTTAATCTGTACCTAACACCTTTGTAAGGTATATATACCCAACATAACAAAAACAAAGTTAGCCAATAAGAATGCAAAATATTACTAACATACTATTACCTTCCTGTCTAGGTAGATAGGACAATTACCTACCTACCTAAGCTTCGTTTCGTTTCGTTTAGTATAGTTCAGGCAAGGAGACAGGTAGGCAGGTACATACCCTAGTAGGTAAATAGGTAGGTAGGTACCTGCGACGAAAGTTAAAAAAAGAAAACAACAAAAGTGACAGAAATCCGTCAATTATGGAAATTAGTTTTCAGCTAATGAAAAGCCTGCATACTAGATAATATTCTGTTCTTCTCATTTTATTAGTATGGTGTGGTGCCGTCTGGTGGTTAGGGGTAATGCCAATACATACAATATATCGTTCGTTCGATCGATTGATCCTTTTTAGTCATTTAGTCAGTCTTTAATAGTCCTTGACAGAAAGAAAAGCCACCTTCTTGTACCTTCCTCTACTCATAGTCAGTTTTTCTTTGTGTGTTTGACTCGGTAACTTACGCAGTTCTCTCTTCGGATCTAAATACAAGGATAACCCGTGCGGGCGTTTTGGCTTTTTTTTTTTCGTTTCAGATAACCCTAACAGGACAGACAGACAAAACCATGGTATTACATTACAATCACGAGACTAGCCTAGCTCAGCTCAGCCTGAAGGTCTAAGAATTCTAGATTTTTAGTTCTTTTGTTCAGGAAAAAAAATCATAATTGGATTGTCTGAGCTAGATCAGAATCTAAAATTAAGATTACCTTGCTGTGTATGTGCAAAAAAAAACAAAAAAAAAAGAAGCAAAACGGAAAGCAAAAAGCTGTGAAGAACACACATGCACAAAAGAAAAGTATGTATCTACGTACCACCGAGTACAGTGCATACATAGATACATACCCTCTGTCCTGCATTAGAAATGACGTTCATTTCATCATGATAGTTACGCTAATCTACTCGATGATACTATGTACAGTACAGTACATACATACATTGTTGCTGTCGACTTTGAAATCAAACCGAATTACGTTATGTTCGCTCTGATTTCCAGATTTCCATTAATTGAAATTATTTTATTTCATTTCAGGCGCCCTGATTTGAATTTCTCACTATTTATTTTTATTTAATTAAATCCAACGTTCTCTCCCCCTGAACTGGGCAGAATATTGCACAGAGTATATATATAATATGAGAAGATTGATTAACGTAATCCACCACCGAGCTGCGCGGACCACCGAGCTGCGCGGTCCCCGAGAAAAAAATTCAACCACCAACACAACCGTAAATCTTGAAGCATTTTGCAACCAAATTTAATGAATTTGACTATATAAAGAAGGAGACTGTTTACTAGGGCATTTAAGCCGATTATGGCCTGTTTGATTGCAATTACTGCATCTTGGTGGCCTTCGAGTCCGTGGTCTAGATGATTCCTGTAGTTGCTCCTCATGCTCTTGAGCTTTTTGCTGTCCTTCAGCACCTGTCAAGCTACCACCAGTTGCTATAAAGTATCTTGA